TGAAGGTTCCACAGCCAGGTTCAATCGACGACATTTGTGTTTTGCCTGATGGTTCTACAAACCAGGGCTGCAAAACTGTCAATGGCCAGTTTCTACCGCCTTACCCTGCCACGCCGCCTCCTTCGGCTAAGAGTTCGCGTCCAGAGACAGCAGATTTCACATTCCATCTCGCTGCCGGATCTCAAACTTCGCCCACGGAGGCTCATGTGCCGGAGTTCTACCTTAACGAGAAGCCTTGGCAGTTATTCCGCTCGTCTCTGATGCCTCTTCTATTTCAGGCAGCAAACGAATCTGATTCCCTCGGATCTCTGGGCAAGCCCATTATCGAAGGTATACCAATTGGCTCTGTCGTTGATCTCATCATTGAGAACAAGCTGAACGACACGGTGCCACTCTATAAGCATGCCGATCCTGCCTGGTTGCTTGGCGTGCAGCCGAACGCGAGGTTCTCGCACAAGAGCGTGAAAGAGGCTCTTATAGGTCGTAGCCACCTGTCTGAGTCCCTCAACCTCAAGGACCCGGCTCTTGTCACAGTCCATGACCTCCCTCCTCTGGGATGGAGTGTTCTACGATTCAAGGTAAGCGCGAAAGCCGCAACGATGATTCATGCCGTGAAGCTTAGATATTTCGCGGTAAGTAGCCTGCACCCACCCTTACATAAGTGCTCATTTTGGCAACCAGACTGACAACATTGTGAACCTTAGCTGGGCATGTCTGCGCCGATCATGGAGGGCATCCTGAGCAGTGACCCCGCAGAATTTCCCGAATCAGCCATCAACCGCCCACATGTGGATTTTGAGCCGAAGAACGATGGTGTGTTTGGCTAGACCATTTTGAAAGCGTGTAGATCAAAGACGCGCAAAGTCTGTCGCTTATCTTGTCTTGTTGGTCATTGCAGGTGTAAGCCGGTCACTTTCGGATCAGACCGAATTGCCGTCCGGTCCGAACGTGGGATGGCAAGGATGGTGCGAAACATCGGCAAAAGTTGAAACGGCAACATGACCAAACTAGAGACTTCAGACACAAAAAGAAAACAGCGCACTCAATGCTTTTTAGATCAGCTATTCAGGCTGTCCTAGACTTGACAATATTTAAGTATGCGCTGTTGATGGAGCAATGTTGACTAGAGCAGCGTATTGCTGCGCTGTGTGCCATTTGATGCAATATGATTCTTCTATCTCAACTATCGTCGCCATGTGTGAACAGAGTTCGTCGGATCTCTAAGCGAACAGACCGAAACCGTTGTCGTCTGAAGTGCATCCCTGCTGGAACAACTAGCTCACATCACAGCCGCAAATCTGCGATAGTGCCCCTGCAGAGTCATTGACTCTGCCCTCGTACAAATCACCCGTCTTGGCCTTCTGACGTTGCATCTAGATTCAACACCTCACGGTTTGCTGTTCTCGAGGCCTTTGCTCACCATATCTTCAAGTTCTAGTCTGTCTTGGCAGGCCCAAGTAGATGAAACTTTATTCTTACTCTACTCAGTAACTGTGTTGCACCTACCTCTTTGTCAACGCCAAAATGCTAATCGCCAACCTCGCCTCGGCTCTGTTGTTCTTCTCCGGTCTTTCTGCCGCGGTGCCAAGCCCCATACTTCCGCAGGCGAATGACAACATCCTAGAAATCCGCGCGTCGAAGGATGTCAATCCAGCAGCCGTAACTGGCACTACGTGCACAGACAAGAACGCGTAAGTCACCATCCATACCCAGGATGCATAGGAAGCCGTGGAGCTAATGAATTACTATAGCAAGATTGATACCCACGACATGAACGTCGCTACACTGGCTATCTGCGGCGGCATCGCAGGGTCTATCCAGAAATGCGGCGGCGCCCCGAAGAGCACTACGGGCGTATCAGGAACCGCGAAGTTCACCCTAAATCCGACCGCCTCGGGAGCCACGATCAATGTATCTAAAGGCCGCTGGGAAGGATGTATTCGGGCTGCGAGAGCAACATGCCCGAGTGGTAGTTTCAAGTCAACCTGTAAAGGAGGCGCAAGCACGGGTGACGTCGCCTTCACGCTCACTAATCCATAAAGTTTGCTGTGATAGAACATATCAACGACATCAATTGGTATCACCGGAGCAAACTTGAAGCACCTCGCCCAGAATCCTTGCGTACCAGCCTGATGTTCTGTGCTGGATCTCCGATCATCGTGAACTTGTCCGAAATATCCATTTTCTGTACACCGCGGAATATCGGCGAAGCGGCCATGCCGTGCTATGTATACCCAACTCTTTCCGGCGCTGGGTCGTGCCAGCGATGTGGAAGTCTGCTCGCAACTAAGGCTAGAAACAATGCCGAATGACTCTGGACCGTGGCTGAAAAGCTAGATGTCTCGATCGAATACTTGAGTAATTACATCTATCGCTATCTTATAACCATCACGGCGGACTGCAGTCGTCTGGTCATAGACTCGATGAGGTGGCAAGGCAGTCATTTAGCACACCGCCCTAGTGGGGAATAAAAAGGTCTCACCTGTCTTTTCATTCTCTTTATCTCTATTTTCTGAAGAGAATTTAGAATTAGAATTGAATTCCAGTGCTTTCTTGGACTCTTGGTCCATTGGGGTGCTGAGATGTCTATAAGCAGCGTTGATCTGGATTAGCAGGACAAAAGTAAATGATGCCCGCACTTCAAGGGTTGTTTGGTCAAACGCAAAGCGAAAATAATAGCGACATAATGTACGATATTGCGGGATGCCGAAGGATCAGACCGCATTTAGGGACCATATTCTGGAAATGAGGCGAAGATCAAGTTCTGCCGCCCCGTTAACTCGAGCATCTTGGGAGCGAGAGGTCTGAGTCAAGTCCAGGTGGATAAAAGAGCACAATACAGTTACATGTTGACCCACGATATCGAAGAGATACTAGGCGTCTATGCTTATTCTTTTATTGAGGCCTTTCGCTCCGACAGATCGTGAACTCATCAGGCCCAATTTCGTTGACATAAACTTCACTTTAGGATCTTAGGAATGCGTCATAATCAAGCAATTGAGAGGATTATTCTGGTAATGATGAAACTTGATCAAAGTTGCATGCTTGGTCTGTTTGAAAGTCCCTGATGCTATTGTCTAAGTTGGGCACCTGATTGCAGGGATTCCCGAGTTCTAGATACTTGCCCAGCAAAGTAGAACTGAGATACCAACATGAACTTACAGTCTTGCCAATTCCAAGTCATTTGCATCCAGGACTTGGCACAATAGATATAAGGACCGAGAGTTGGGGCCATTCAAGTTGTGTTGCACCGTTCCTGCCGACTTGGCAATCTCTGAGTCTCAGCAACCCTCGATAGTAAGCAAGCATTTTGACTGAGTCTTTATCCTCTTACGTGAATCAATATGCCGTCTCATTAGAAGGCACAGCATTCTTCGCCGACCTTTCTTTTCCAGCTGAGTGCAAAGAAATTGAGAAGGAGAACACTTTAACAAAGTTCCTTTGTTGAAGATCCTCTCCCACAACCCGTAGCAAATCTAGCCCACATTGGAGGGGCTCTGTTGGCTGACATGACTCGATAAAGTTCAAATTGGCATCACTACCTACAGTGTTCGTGATCAGTTGGTATTCTAGGTCCAGTAGCCCTTTTGCTCTCATTTCGCCAGTCTGACATCGATTGATGTTAAAGTGGTAAGTGGTTGCTGGAAAGGCTTTCTCCTACTTTCGATTGAAGTCTGCTTGAGTTGTTGCTACTGTAGCATTAAGAACCACTGTATTGTGACTAAAACAGCAGGTCAAAGTCACAGATGCGCCTAGGGGCGCTGGGTGGTGCCTTGCCACAAACGGTCGGTCGTATTGCGATGCGATAGCGAAAGGGCTAGGCGGAAAATGGGGAAATAGTCGCCTTTGTTACGGATACCATTACCCAAGAAGTCGGGAGTGTTGTGTAAACTAACCATAAAGGCTCAGGGGAAGTTTCCGAGGACTTTAAATCACTTTAAATCACTTGCGGGTATATTGCCGCCAATCATGATGAAGGGCAGCAGGGAAGCGTGTCAGAGAATAATGGGGTCCGTGTGTGATCTTTTGACTAAGGCATATTCTGTCAGCGTTTAGCGAGTGGCACGTTACGGAGTACGGGTCCTTCGGTTGAGTGGGATGAAGCCATCGTCTACTTGTAGATGTCCTTGGGAGGGGGGACCTTGACATTCGGAGAGAACGAGATCAGCGTCATTTTGAAGTGGTGGATTCGTCGAGGAGATCCAATATCGAAGTCATTGGCGTATGCACCCCCTACTTGGGAGTTCGGATGAGACTTCTCCTCTCCATGTTCCCTTGGACAAGTAGATGTGACTTCTGGTAGCTCACTTACTGTATTCTACAGCAGCGAGACGCCCGACCGGGAACAGATTCGGTCCATTTGGCAAGCTTGAAATCCATCAATCATGAGATATCTACTTAATCTGTACCTACCGGGTCTAGGGTAAAGACTAGGATATTCTTTTTGAGGTGATCGATGCAGGGAACAACACGAATAAGGCCAGCGAGGGGCCAATACGCATCGGTGCTGATTGGTGTATTCTGCCCACCGTTTCATCGCAAATTGCCAACACTTTCTTAGAAACAGTCCATCGAGCCCCCATGGACGGGCCCAGTCTCAACTAACAAGGGCCAGCGCGTTACGCCTCTCAACACCAACTCCAAATTGTCCGTACGCAGCAAAGGATTTCGCCCTGTGGACCATTGGACTGTGACCAGGCCGGGCTGTATCCGTAGATCACCAGGTCACCGTGTGTGTGTTTGCCTGCTTTGCATCATACGTCTTGGCTCGAAGAGGAAATAATCCTTACCAGAGAGTCTTGGCGAAGTTGGCGCTTCTACTTACAAAAGATGGCGCTCCTCGATCGCTTGGACTGAAAGGAGGAGTAGTCTCCGATCAAGTTCTCATCCATCTCGATTTCATTCTTTGCAAGAAAGCCTCTGTCTTTCTTCGTTCGCTCATTTGTTCATTCGTTCATTCGCTCTTTTCTTCAACGTACACATACAACAGGTTGCCCAAGATGGCCAGGTCAAACCAACTTCTCTTCACAATCTTCCTCGCCCTCACCACCGGCATCCATGCGGCTCCTCAGGCAGGCGCCCCCAAGGTAGTCGCGCGTGCTGAGCCCGCCGAATTCGAGGCCCAGACCAAGGCCGGCCCCGGCGGCAGCGACTTCAAGGACTCTGCCCACTTCCGCGTCTACGCCGGCGGCAGCTCCGCCGATGATTCCCTCGCCATGCTCGAGGGCGCCTACGAGTGCTTCGTCAACACCCTCGGCTGGCGGTCCTCTGGACTCTCGTTCAACGAGGGCTCCGACAACGGCCCTTACTACAAGACCAACGTCTACTCCGTCTCCAAGCTCGACAACGCCGCCGGCGTGATGCACTCGGAGTACGAGTCCGGCGCCGGCTGGCTCGAGGTCGTCGACACCTACCTCGCCACCCCGGGCGTCACCGTCCACGAGTACGGCCACGCCCTGCACTACCACCAGCGCACCTGGGTCGATCAGGAGCGCACCGGTGCCTGGTGGGAGACGGTCGCCAACTGGGTTGCCGACACCTACAACACCTCGCCCCTCTGCGCCGACGCCCGCACCAAGCACAAGTCCCCCGAGGGCCGCACCGAGTTCGAGGTCAACAAGGTCCTTGGCGACTCCTTCCAGGTCATTGTCGACGGCACCGTTGACTCTGGTAACTACTACCAGGCCTGGCCGTTCCTGACCTACCTCACCAACAACCCGGACAACATTGCCGGCCTCGGCAAGGACACTCTTCACCAGATGATGGTCCAGTACGAGGCGAACAGCAACGAGACGCCCCTCCACACCCTCAACCGCGTCGCCGGCAACACCACCGCCGGCGAGATTGTCGGCAAGTACTGGGCCCACATGGCCTACGTCGACATCGGCCACGACCAGGCCCAGGAGATCTTCAACCAGGCCAAGGACAGCGTCAACTTTGCCAACGTTGACAAGTCTGGCGACGGCTACAAGGTCAAGTCCGCTCGCGCCCCCCGTTACATGGGTGCCAACATTATGCCCCTGACGACTTCCGGCGGCAAGGTCGACGTCAAGATCACCTCGGCTGGCGAGTTCACCGCCCACCTCGCCATTAAGGGCTCCAGCTCGGTCCGCTACGTGCAGCTCGCGAACGGTGCCGGCTCTGCTGAGATCGCCAGCGGCGAGGAAGCCAGCTTGGTCGTTGCCAACACCCCCAAGACTCTGATCCAGTACAACGGTTTCCAGCTCGCTAGCAGCGATGCCAACAAGGGCCTGGACTACTCCTTCACTCTGACGGGCGCCACCGTTGCATAAGGGGCGAGAACTAGCGTGTGTGCTGTGTATCATTTCATGTACTATATTTCTCTTCTCTACATACTGTTAGCCACTGGATAAGGGCATGCATATACAGATTTCAAGATACCACATTTGGTTAAACCCGCTTCCCGCTATGTGTGACACTTTGTGATCAAACCCCTGACAATCCGAGCCGATTGAGAGCACTGGCGCATGGGTCAGAGCCATGACACATCAGTAGCCTACGACAATGATCTGACGAAATCCAACTCTTTAAAGGTCAGCGCCGTAACAACAATGGCGGCACCGACAACCAAGGCCATGGGACGTTGTATTAAGCTCCTGACCGAACTTCTTGGTTTCTCGAATACGTTGTCCGCGGCATCCGTGGGAGCCAGCCTAGATTTTCTGCCTACCGTGGCGTTGATGTATCCTAGGGACCCCAGCTGGACAAAGCTTAAACGGCATATATGAATGCAATAAGATGCAATCCCGCCGAGGTAGTCTGCTCGTGTTTCCGGCATTGCCATGCTGTGTGCTATGATTGGGAGAAGTCTGAGCAACACCATCGAAAGTACATTCGCAGGGAGGATCTTTCGGAGCAATGGTGAGTTTGACGTTGTGCGGCCGTGGAATCGCATCAACACGGCAGTATCATAGAACAGCTCCGTCACCAGGCCGGCGTAGATTAGATAGAGAGGTCGCCTTGGGCCCCGGCCAATGAGGAAGAGCCCGAGGGATGAGAGCGAGAGGACGTGATGGGTGACGTATTCAGGGGAATAGCTGAGAAGTGGCAGCTCAGAGGTCCAGAGGATGGCTCGAGAGGCAAGACAAACCTTGCCGTTGGTGGTGAAGGGGCGGTCGAGCCCGAATATTTCGGTGGCGGAGGACGTATCATTGTATGCCGCGATACAGATGGGTGTTGTGATCAACGTCAAGAGGAAACCTAGCGGGAAGACAAAATAAGGAGCCAATTTGCGATGCTTGTCCGTCTCCAAGGTCTTGTAGAAGTCTGGGTTTGCTCGTTTGACTATTTGATGTGCGCACCGGTTCGCGAGCTGATAGGCAACCAGGCCCGCGACGTAAAGTATCCAGTCTGGAACGGCCATGATGATCGGATTACTCTGGTGTGAAGTATCACAAGTCAGAAGGTGTCGACGATAGCCACGAGTTGTTATATGGCAATAACACAGTGGTTGCGACAGCGAGAGTCTTCGACATTTTGGGTCCATTAGCTTGCTGACTGACATCCCTCTATCGGGCCTTAATGAGGTAGAAGCTTCGTGCAAGTCAGCCAACATGCGTCTTGCTGCCTTGTCCAGCGATAGCCGACCAGCGTCGTTGATAAGATATAACTAGCATCTCACGTAAGCCTCTATGCGGCTGATGTGCCTCGCAGATATATTGCAGCATTCACAGTCTGTATAGGATTGTCGTAAAGAGAATGTAGGCCGCGTGCTGCAATGCGTCAATTTGAGTCACAGTTGGTCAATCTCAGTACAAAAAGATTGATAATGAGGGTGGATAGCCAGCGGCTGGGAAATGTTACCCGCTCCAGCTCTTCAACATGCCATATCAACAACCGAACCGGCTGCATAGCCAGTGCTGAATCCAGAACTCGAGCGGCAAACCCCAGAGTCACGGCTCTCCCAGGTCTCGGCATTGACATAGGGCGGCCGTCCGATCCGGAGGTGGCTCCACGGCGCCGGCGTGCCGCATGTCTAAAGGCAGGAATCTGTTGATTATGTTAAAAGTTTGGGACGCTAGGGTCTATCCATAGAGCACCACGAGGGGCAGTCGATCTTGGCCGGCGTGCCATGTTCCCGCGATGAGGCTCGTTTGTAGGGATTGCGGGAGTAGTGTTAATCTCGGGGGATTCCTTTGCCAGCTGGACAAGGATGATGGCGCAGGGATGGCTCTCAAACCACACAGGCGATGCTTCAGTTTTCAAGTGATTGAGGTTGGAAGAGGAAACGAAACAAAGAAGCCTCGGGTCTATCGACGTGCATATTGACCGTACTCCGTATCCATACGGATACTCGTACACACAACAGAGACTGCGCCCTGTACATGTGAAGAAGTCGCGGAGAGGGAAAGATGTCGTGCCAGGTACGTACTTGATAGGCGCCGTCCGGGGATTTCGGGTGCCGTTGGGAGGTCAGGGGAAAATGGTAAACCTGAGGTTTCCAGGTTGACAAGGTGGGCCATGGTGCTGATTTAATGGAGTCTTGGCGGCTCAAAGCTGTCAGTTATTGGAGCCGCACGTGATTGGTCGTTCCGTATAGTCCACGGAGAAGGCACGTACCGTTAGTGGCCGTGTGCTGCACTGTCAGATAGTCACTGTGCAGCTGCCCCCTATTTGAGGCAGGAAATTGAGAGTTCCTTCCAAATTCCCGGTGGCCTTGGCACTGCGTAGCCACTGGCTGCGTTACAAGGTTTGGTGGGGCCAGTGGGGATACGTACAGTGTGAATGAAGACTAAGGTTAATTGCGGTCGAGACCTTCCTTCCAGGGCAGCCACGGGGAGGTTCCTTCCTTCCTTCTCCAGCACTCCAGCACCCCAGGTGTTCTTTCCTTCTCCAGTTGCCAATCCCTCCCCTCGGTGCCTTTCCAAATTCCACCACCCGCTGTCCCTCTGCTCTTTCCTCAGTTCACGTTGACTCTCACTCATGTGCCACTCTCACTCTCACTCTCACTTTCACTCTGAATCCCTCTCACTTTTGACCAAGACTTGTCAAGACACCAAGCCAGCCAATGTTTGGAAAAAACGATCGCCAGTTTGACTTGCCATCGCCCAAACACACGCGATGTGTTGGCAGCTCACACGGCAACCGGTGGCACTCGCTCCAAGTCGCTCATATCCCCCGCGGCGTCCGGCTCTCTACCGTCGTGTGATCTGCCTTGGCCGAACCGATCGCTCCTTGGCGTACATAAACAACACAATGCCCAAGCCTGCCGGTTATGCACTCAAGGCCAAGCTTGAAGAAAGGGATGTGAACCTGTTTTTTGGGTTTATTCTCCTCTGTACTTGCATTCTGTCTTTCATCGCGCGTGTCGGGACCTGTAACTCGTATCACGGTCTCATAATTCGTATTCAACCTGGCCTGTCTGCCGTCTGACAGCTTGCCTTGCGCACAAGGCGAATGAGCTGAGCAGAGCTGACAGCCCGAAGTGACCTGAGCTGACATGCCATCCGAGGTGTTGCAGCTGACTAACTTTTATCCTGCAGCACAGTAGGTACTTACTTACCTGTTGGGATGAGACGCAGACACGAGCTCTTACTTCTCACTGCTCAGTCCTTACCGACATACATACAGACTTGCATTTTGACCCGATTCCTGCTATTGATTTGCTTTCAATTCCCTTCGTTTGCTTGGCATTCTCCGGCACTTAATCCCTTTCTGCTCTGCCACCTTTGTTGCGCTTCATTGTATCCGTACAACCAATCCAGCCCTTAAAGTTCGCGTACCTGGCCTGGACCATCCCTCCAACGGCTCTTCCCATGTGTTGGACGGCCGATCGCTGCTCATCTCAAAACCGCGAGTCAACGATCAGCGGCCACTCTGTCTGACGCATCACAGAGCACCACCGGGCCTCAGCCTCTCAGTCGCACTCAACATCAATCTCCCTCGCCGGCCCTGAGACGCCATCGCCATCGCCAAGGCGCTGCTGAGCCTTAGCTCTGAGCGACCCCTGGATCCATCGTGCCTTCGTCCCCGTTTTGTGCTTTTCGGGGCTTCAGAGGCATCAACCATATCCACATTGAAGCCCATTGAAGGCAGGGCTCCTTCTGCCCTCTGCGATCCCCTTGCCTAACCCTTCGGAGCGTATGATGCCCGTGGGCCGTGAGTCGTGACAATCCCTCTCAAGTTCTAACACCCCGTAGCCTGTAGGATGACGGGCAGAGAGAGGACTCCCGAGTCCCCGCGTATTTGGCGAGGAATGAGTCTTGGCAATGTTCGTTGTCGGGTAGGGATGGCTGGTCCTGTTTGAGAGAGGCTTTTAGGCGTGCTCTTTCGCGGGACTCGTCGTCTTGGGTTCTCCTTGAACCCAAATGGCGTCTGGTCGATTGTAGTTCGTCCCTATCCGTCTGTTCCCAGCCATCACTCGCGATTGTTCCATTGACATTGAGCGGTAGACCATGTCACACCCCATTCCCCCAGCCTATCCATCCATCCATCCATCTTTCTAGTTCTCTCTCTCCATAGGGGTTCACTCGGTTGGTGTGGTCCGTGTTTGCATTCAACAGCCCGTCTTCCAGTTCCCGGGTCTCTGCTGCATGAGGTGAGGTGATCCTTCGTGCTGCCCGCGTCGCCTGCCCTTGCAGATGGCGGAAGAGGCAAACCATGAACGGTGGGACCGTAACCGCCCTGTGAGCCTTGGATAGAATGGATAGCCCCGAGACTGGCGGCATCTCACGAAATCCATCTGGTCTATTTGGTCCAAAGGGGGCCCTTGCTGCTGTCGAACCTTGTGAAGGGTGCTCGAGTGCTGCCCGGCCCAGGCATCTTCTCAACTTCTCATTTGCTGCACAGCCCCGATGCCCAGAAGGCCAAGACTTTACCAAGAATACCAAGACTTTGGCGGCCACCAAGACTGATTTCTACCGCGTCATCCTGTGCCCTCCTGTGGTCTGTCTTCCGTGTCTGTTGATTCCCATTTTCTTGTGTTCCCAAAAAGCCCAGAGTTGCCGAGAAGGAAGAAAAAAAAGTGGCCTTGAAAGCCTGTTTCCCCCCCTTTTCCTTCCCTTTCCCGTGCATCCTGATTCTGAGCTGTGAGAAGACAAAGCTCTGTTGGTTAACCTGCAACCATCCCCAACTCACACCCGTCCATCGTTTATTCCTCCACCTCAACTCGAATAAACACGCACAGTTTACACACCAAACTACAACCTTCGCTTCATTTCTCGCCACAGCATTTTCACTTTTTCATACCGGCCGAACTCCCAATCAGGGAAATCAATCGTAGTAAATAAACATCGACACTCGCTTCCGACGACGAATACGAATTTCTGACCGACCGATCGACCGACCGACACCTCTCACCGCAGCCACAGTTTCTTTTACGGCCCCCTTCTACCTTTGGCGCCGCCCATTCATGAACAGTCGCTTCTCATAAACGAAAAACCTTCTTTTTCAAACTTCGACCCGGCTTTCATTTTCAGTCACAGTCGACTCATTCAGTTTCATTTCAACTCACACGTCACCCCGAACCGCTTCGACCGATAAATCGATTCGACCGCCTTCTCCACCCGATTCTAAGGGATCTTGCATTACAACTCACCAATCTTGATTCCTCATTCAGCAGCGCTTTACGTCTTCTTCCGTAGACCGGCTCTTCGCCATGGTCGCTTCACTCGCTTCTGCCGCTTCGGCGGCACTCTTGCTCGTCGGCAGCCTCCCCGCCGTCAACGCGCAGTACACCATCGACACAACTGGTAAGCAGGCCGAGCACCTCTCACCCCACGATCATCATCGCGCCCCACGATGAAATGCAATGCGGCCCATCATCCCGCAAAATCCCTCCTGCTAACACCGCTTCTTTCCCCACGATTCAGACAACATAAAAAAGTCAGCAAAAATGCTCGCATACGACCTCATCAAACAGTACAAGGGCAACCAGACCGGCGAGATCCCCGGTATTCTACCCGGTCCGCCAACCGAGCACAAGGGCGACTACTACTGGTGGGAAGGAGGCGCCATGATGGGCACTTACATCGACTACTGGAAGCTGACGGGCGACTCGGCCTACAACGACCTCGTCATGCAGGGCATGCTTCACCAGACCGGCCCCAATGCCGACTACATGCCGCCAAACCACACCGCATCCCTGGGTAACGACGACCAAGGCTTCTGGGGCATGTCCGCCATGTTGGCCGCAGAGAACAAGTTCCCGAACCCGCCCGAAGAGAAGCCTCAGTGGCTGGCACTGGCGCAGGCCGTGTGGACGACGCAGGCGAGCCCCGATCGTCACGATGACACCTGCGGTGGAGGTCTGAGATGGCAGGTGCCTTTTTCCAACGCTGGATACAACTACAAGAACAGTATGCGAACCCCGAGCGAAATTTAGGTTCATGGGAGGGGATGTTCGGGACGTAGAGGTAGCTAACACATGTCGCAGCCATCGCAAACGGATGTTTCTTCAACATTGGCGCCCGCCTCGCCAGATACACCAACAACGACACGTACGCGCAGCACGCCGAGAAGACCTGGGACTGGCTCTGGGCCGTCAACTACATTGACCACGAGTCCTGGAACGTCTACGACGGCGGTCACGTCGAGCACAACTGCACCGACGTCAACAAGCAGCAATTCTCTTACAACGCGGCCATTCTCACGCAGGGCGCCGCTTTCATGTATAACTACGTAAGTTCCACCTCACGAATGCAGGTCAAACCCTCTAGCTACGACCTCATACTGACCTTGACCAGACCAACGGTTCCGACGTCTGGAAAGGCCGCATCGAAAAGATGACAGAGTCCCTCTTCCTCAACTTCTTCCCCAACAACACCGCCTACGAGCTGGCCTGCGAGGGCCGCAAGGGCCAGTGCACCGCCGACATGTTGTCCTTCAAGGGCTACGTCCACCGCTGGATGTCCGTCGTCACGCAGGTCGCCCCCTTTATGAAGGACAAGATTCTGCCCGTCCTCAAGGAGTCGACGCAGCACGCCGTCAACCAGTGCACGGGTGGCGCCGAGGGTCGCACCTGCGGCTTCTACTGGAACGAGCAAGTCTATGTGGACCCGGCCGTCGACAAGACCTCTGGTGCCGGTGAAGTCATGAACGTCTTGGCTGCTGTGTCAAGTCTTCTTATCGAGGATTCCGCGCCGCCTGTGACGAATTCGACGGGTGGTATTTCAGCGGGTGATCCTGATGCAGGAAGCAAGAGTAAGGACAACATTGAGCCGGAGCCTATCACGACGGCGGATAAGGCTGGCGCGGGTATCCTGACATTCATCGTCCTTGCTGGTGGTCTGGGTACGTGGGGATGGATGAGTCTGGGTGACTGAGAGGGTGGGGGAAAGTGAGAGAGAGCCTGAAGAAAGGAGGCATGAGATACCTAAAGTAATGGGTTGTTTGATTTGTTGTACGGATTACATATCAGGATCGCATGGCATGGCGTTCTGGGTAAACACTGCAGGAGGGGAACTTGACTAACCACCACTGCCACGAATTACTTTTCTTACTTCTACCACTTTCCACCGTTACCACCTTGTGACCCACGCGATCGGTGGAACGACGCCAATAGAAAGATTGGCACATCGTTGCGACTTGTGAATACTTTTACGCCCAGGAGAATCGTGACGATGTTCAAGCCTCACCTACTGGCGAAATGGAACTAACATGAAGTATCGACCTCAGCCGTCAGGAAACTTGGACGCTGCATCTCAAGGTCCGTTCTCAGTTCGCCTCGTCATGTGGCGCACGCCGTCTGATGTTGAGTAACTGCTGCAAGGGTGCTGCCTGTGCAGGGACGAAGTCTATCTGTGGCTAATATTGGACATGGTGGGGTGATTGCAGAATGCTCAAAAAGTCACTCTCGCTATCGGTTCCGAATTGATTCGGGGCATTATGGTCCGTTCTCTTGGTCCAGCTGATCGAAGCATTGAAGCACGAATCAGTTGATGATTGACTTGCAACAGAGCAATAGTATTCTGGCTCTTCTTAAGTCGTTCCGAGGGGACGGGTCATTTTAAAGCTACGCAAGTGTGCATCCAAGTTTTAAGCTTATCCGGGGGTTCCCCATAGACGTGCCGAATATCCGCCCTCACGAAAGTCGCTTTCCATGTGCTTCAGTGTCTGGTGACGACGAGTGTGGTTATTCGAGCACTTATCTACCCCAACCCAAAAGTCAGCGATCGCAAGAAAAGACAAATTTTAGGACTTTTCAGGGACACACTTGAAGAACTTGAAGAGTTGAGCCAGGCTCAGAGTAGCTCGTCTTGCTGGGTCGCTCTTCTCATTCTCTAGCCTTTGAACGGATCACGTTCAAGACTAACCTGTGCAGTGGGCAAGGTAGAGGTGCAAAACTAGCGCTCTGATATCCAAGAATCTCAAACATATCAGAGGCAGAGCCCTACAAAAGTTACAAATCTGAGGCTCAGCCAAGTAGGGCCATTAGTTGGCTTGATCCAGACCAAGGCGCATGGACAGACGAGAATAGACATCCACTAGTTATAGGTGTCACTGGCGATGAAGTGAACATGCAATTGAAATCACATAGTATCCGAGGAGAAAGTGCCATTATTTGCAAATGTCACATCAGACGACATTCATGAGCTCTCAGGCGCCCGATAATAGGGAGCACGTCACTGGTCTTCCCTCTCGTTTCCTTCCGATATGCTCGAAAATCCTTCTAAGAGATCTGGACTAGAACGTAAGGATGCGTTAAATGAGAGCTGTGAAGCGGCTGGCCCTTCAGAATGTAATCTGGTGTGTTGAAGTGGCCGTTGCCCTCGAAGGTTCAGAGCCCATTGCACCAGCCCACCGACAAACCAGTAAGTTTGTCATGACTATCTAATTATTGTGGACACTGCCATCGCGCCTCGGTAACGTCAAAGGGGATAAAGAGCAAGAAAAGATGAAAAATTGGCTGCGCTGTGTAGTCATTTGTCGAGCTTCGTGAGGCCAATCGTGATGCGGTGATGTTTGTACTCAATGTCATCCAGTGGGAAGAGGAAAAACTGCACTTGGAGGCTTCCTTGTGCGAGAGACAGACAAAACTTGCCAACAAGGCGGAATCCGAATGGATTGACCACGGCAAGAAACACTACTGAGTAAATATGTAATGAGATTGTGTTCCAATGAGGCGAGAATTCCAGCTTGCAATCCGTTGATAAATTGTCATTCAAATTCAAGCGTAATTGGGCAGAATTTGAAGGTTCGGGGCTGCAGCAACTTGCGATGATCGTCACGTCAAAGCTAGCAGCTCCCACCGGCAACCTAGATTAGATGCAATCAAGGCTCTTGATCGCCCGAGTCGTGGATAGACAGATACCCACGCGCATTTAAGGCGGCTCTTAGTTTAAACATGCTCAGTTGGTGAACCCTCCCCGAAACAGCCGCTCAGAGTTGTGCCGATTTGCCGCTAAGCCAATCAAGAGTTGTCAGCATGGCTAACCCCAGTAAATGGGCATCGTATACTCGCTACGAAAACCCGCCGTAACCCAGTCGCAAACCCCTTCATTTGAACTCGGCGAGTTTTGCCGCTCAGAGTCAATCATGTCAATCATCGAAGCGACCAGTTTTAATCCCTGGATTACTCCCTATGTACGGAGTAAACCGCAGCAAACACTACTATAAGATGGATGTAACCTAGCGTCTTGGCTTTTTCTTGTCTCCTCGCACTCTGCAGCTGTATACTGACCTATCATTCTGATTCATTCACTCTTTTCTCTCAAACAGCCAAGATGCACTATAAGATGGATGTAACCTAGCGTCTTGGCTTTTTCTTGTCTCCTCGCACTCTGCAGCTGTATACTGACCTATCATTCTGATTCATTCACTCTTTTCTCTCAAACAGCCAAGATGCGTTCATTCTCTTCCATTGCCGTTCTCCCCCTCGCTGCGCGAATCGTCGCTGCTGGCAAGTACGATGCGTGGAAATTCGGTAACATGTTCACCCTCGGGTCCGACAGCAGTGTCATCACCAAGGCCACCTACACTCTTGTTCCCCCATCCATTCCCTGCGGCACCGTCATTAGCAACAAGGACGACCAGCCGTGGATGTCAATCTGGGTTGGCATCTCGCAGTCCGTCAGCGACCAGGGCAGCGATCTCTTCCAGCCTCTTTTGAACTGGGCCCCCGATAACTCTGCTGCGTGAGACACATTTGGCTCAGGTTTCGTTTGAAATTCATCATTGGCTAACGAGACCCTTAATAGTGGTTGCCCTGCCTCCAACACCGAGTGGTGCGTTGCTGCCAGCACTTTTACCGGCTGTGAGTTTATGAACACCAAAGTTGCGTATTTGTAGAAGTATACTAATAAGTCGCAGCCACCCAGGTTGCCCAGCCTTACATCGCTATTCCCTCCAAATCCGACGTCGACTTTGAGCGTACGTTCCAGATGCCTGTCTCTTGACTGTGGTAGTACCGAAAACTGACTGTCTTTTAGTCGTCTACGATGCCTCCAAGGGTGTGACCCAGAAGGTTTGGATCAACGGTGCCATGGTCTCGCAGCAGACCGATGGTAAGCATTTCCTTCACCTCCCCCAACCAACGAAACCATACTGATGCAAGAGCCTAGTGGACGGCAACGGCAAGGCCCCTACCTACATCTACTCCAGCAACGAGTGTTACCAAGGCGCCTGCGGAACCCTCCCTGCCTACAGTAAGTTGATTGAGTTTGCTATCTTGTCTTGGGATGTGTTTTCATGCGCTAACTTTACACTCTCAGGCTGGAGCAACCTCACCATCGTCCTTGCCAAGGCCGACAAGACCTTCGGTGACTCACTTCAGCTTACCGGCGCTACCTCAACTGGTATTAAGACGACCGATGACGGCAAGACTTGGCATGTTGATGCCATCAAGATCAACCAGGACTTCTTCTACACTGACGGCTCGAACAAGCAGTGCTAAAGTTGCCAAAGACACACCAAGAAGGGAGATCTAGTTAGAATTTCTTCACTTTAGGGCGCAGCAGTCACCCTTTGATCTTCTTCAAGCTAATTTACAATTGACCTTGCTTGATGCATTCAAACCCCATAATTCCAACCAGACGTACCCATTTGAAATAATTCCGACTCAAGTAGCTTAGCCGAACTCATGTCACTGACCACAGGTCTATCCTCTATATTAAGCATGATGTTTTCAGGATTCAAATCATTGTGAGCATGTCCAAGACGATGCATATATTTCTCTCTGCCATATGTTCCCCACAGTAAGGAAGTTGTGTGGACAAGAGGCTGACAGTAACTTTCCACCCGTGTTGAAAGAATCATTGTACAGCGTTTCAACAAAATCCCGACAATGGGCCCGTTCTTCTACAAGCACTCCTTGAACTGCACCATATTCGGGGAAGGATGTTTTCGGGTGCTTTGATTTACTCCGATCTCTTCAAGAAAGTCGCCAGTAATTACTTTGGTACTCGTTACGTGCTACCTGGTCGTAGACAGCGACGTTGAGTCGTTTGAGCCAAACAACATTAGCATGGGTGACGTTGGACGCATTGAATGTAGCCGTATGAGGTACCAACAGAGGCTGGTTTCTGCTGGCTGGGCACCACGAAGATAGTTGAATGCTTGTTCATGGCTGACTTGTTTGTTGGGGATTTCGATGCTCCCAAGCCAAGTTGCATGTTGAGTTTTCTAGTAGCTATGAGGACCATGTACTGGGATTTGCCTGACTGCAAGGTCTCGAAGACAGTGTATAATCTGTTACATGAAACGCATATCTGGGGTCTTATATAGACCTCCCGTGTCCCTGGGTGACCATGAGCATATTCCCAACAGTGTCCGGATTCAACGAATTCTCTGCCTCTTTCAAAGATTGAGCCACAGCAACGGAGCCCCTCTTGACGACGTCTGCACCATACGCTTCCATGGTGCCTTTGCGGCTGGTACCCTCACGAACGTCTCTCAACTTTGACAGTGCATTTATATAGTTTTGCACATCAATGATCGCGTGCTGAAGTCCCTGGCCTCGGACTAGTGATGGCGTTAGTTCCAAAAGGCTGTTTTCTCAGTAACCGCACGCTCAAGTCTGACTTACACGGCAACATGGGATGAGCGGCGTCTCCTGCCAAGGTCACTCTTCCATCATGTGTCTCCCAAGGACTAGGAAGCCAGTACTTCATCTCATCAAGATAGCAAGAGCTTCCTGCCGGTGTCCATTCTAGAGCAGACCGGAACGGCTCGCAAATTCCTGATAGATCCTTTTTTGCATAGTCGATGGCTTCTTGGCCATTCAGGCTGACGGAGTGGCCGCGCCATACCTTGACCCAGAAGGTCTCCCAACTGGCAACATCGTTCGGATCCTCCGCAGACATGACTACAACCTGAGCTTAGAGACGCACGAAAACCTGGCAAATGTGCAAATACTCACCACCACATCCAGCTAGGTTTGCTGTTCCAAGCATGAGCGCGCACACAGAATGTGCCTTCACCACGGCGTTGACCTTGTGTGCGTCCCCGTACCTGCAGACACAGTTCGCGATGGAGTATCCTGATGGCACTGGCCTAGCCTTCTCAACCCCCATAAGGAATTCTCGGACTTTGGAGGAGACGCCGTCTGTTCCCAAGACGTAATCGGCTTCATATTTCTCTCCATCTCGGAAGACGAGGTTTATCTCGGTACTTCTGGGCATCATCTGGTCGAGGTACTTGCCCCAGCGAATATCGAGCCCTTCAACGAGGACTTTGCGGAGGCGTCGTCTGCTGATCCGCCGAGCGCCTGGTGTCGAATTTTGGAACATGACTTCGCCGGTAGCGCCGTTGTACCCGATGACGCTCTCGTCCCAATCGTTGAATTCAAGGTGCGGATTGCAAATACCTTGAGGGAAGTTCTTCACAATCTGCTCAGGTAACAGCTCTGTGAGTGTGCTCATGCCCCAACCGATGAGGATCGACCAGTCGCGCGGCCGAGCTGCTATGCTTTCATCACGTTCAAAAACGACCACGTTGAAGCCACTCTGAGGTATCGTGTCAATTTCTGACACGGACCGGTGCAACAATACATGCCCACTCACCTTTTTCAAGCCTTGGGCGGCGATCAAGCCAGTCAACCCCGCGCCTATGATTGCGACCTTGGGCCCATTAAGTCAAACCCCCCACTTCCCGGCACCCCCCTGTTTCTGGCACCCACAAAAACGCGAAAATCCACCACAACGCAATGCCCACCCCCAACCTCCTTTTATCACAACATTTTCAATTCGAGTCCAAATGGGCTCATTTTTTGCACATACCTTCTTCTATATCTAATGCCTCAATATACCGAAGATCAGCTTCGTCAGGCTCTCGAGGACATCTCAAACGGCAAGAGTCAAAAGAGAGCCTCATTGGAGTATGGGATACCACGATCAACCCTCCAACTACGTCTCCAAGGTGGTCAGACTAGGAAAGTGGCTTTGCTGACTGGCAGAGGCTGTCTCCTGACCAGGAGAGTAGCTGGCACAATGGGTTCGCATTCAGGCTTCGCTGGGCCTCGCACCAACGCACCAACAGGTGAAGGAATTCGCAGAGCGAGTTCTGGCTGCTGCTGGGATACCAAACCATTAGGAAAGGCTGGATCTATGCCTTCGTGAGAAGGAACCCTATCATTAAGGTTCAGAGAAGTCGTTCCATCGATTCTAGACGCGTTAATGGGGCATCTACTGAGGTCATTAGGAACTGGTTTAAGTTCCTTGCTATCCCTGAGATCAAGGACATCAAACCAGCCAACAGATATAATATGGATGAGACTGGCATCCTCGAGGGTCAGGAGCTAATGGGTTAGTGCTGGGCATGGCTGAGACGACGTCTGTTCGCAAGAAACAACCTGGGTCGAGGGCATGGGTCTCTATCATTGAGTGTATCTCAGCCTTGGGTAGGGCACTTCGTCCTCTTATCATTTTCAAGGGAAGACGGTCCAACAACAGTGGTTTCCATTACATCTGGTTCCATACGATGGGTGGGAGTTTACAGCAACAGATAATGGCTGGACTACAGACTTAACTGCCATTGAATGGTTAGAGAAGGTGTTTATCCCACAGACTATGCCCGAGGCTGAGGGCGAGGCTCGACTGTTGATTGTGGATGGGCATGGGAGTCATACGACGACAGACTTCATGTGGAATTGCTATATTAACAATATCCATTTACTGTTCTTACCACCACACTCCTCTCATGTCCTCCAGCCACTTGACCAGTCTGTCTTCAGCCCTGTTAAGTCAGCCTATCGGAAGGAGCTCGGTTACTTGTCTCAATGGAACGACTCTACCATTATAGGTAAAAGGAACTTCCTGGACTGTTACCAGAAGGCTCGACTTGCTGGTCTATCAGTCTCGAACATCAGAAGTGGTTGGAAGTGGACTGGTCTACACCCTGTAGCGATGGTTAAGCCCCTGATGAACCCTATGGTATTACCTGAGCCTTCTGCTAAGCCCACCACACCCAAACCAACCAGTCGGGGCAAAAGCGATGCCATAATGGTCAACAAACTACCCTGTTGAGCCATGGGATTCTGCTTCCTCTGCAGTGGTCTGGTCGACACCCAGGAAGCTGGCAGAGCTCAGCGGTCAACTGCACTTATACACCCAACTCGACAATGATACCAGCACTCAACGGCTGCTGTTCAGGAAGGTGAAAAAGGCTTCAGAGCAGGCCTGGCAACTGGCAGCTGCCCAGCAGCAGCTGGCTCACCTGAGGGCTCAAGTTACCAACGCTGCAGTTAGGAAGAGGAAGACTGTTCAGATCGATCCCAACACGAAGTTTGCGAACATCAGGGATATCCATCGGGCTCAAATCGAAGCGGGTGAAAAGGAGGTTATTACGGCTGAATCCAGCGACTCTGAATGCCCTAGTGAGGCTGGCAGTTGTATTGTAGTGGGTGTGGTTGAGGATCAATAGTTAATAGTAATGAGGAGGTTGGGTTGTGATCCCATCGTTTTTGTGGGTGCCAGAAACAGGGGGGTGCCAGGAAGTGGGGGGTTTGACTTATCACGGTGCTGATCAGAGTTGCCGTTCGTATTCTGGATTGCCATTGCGGACGCAGTCAACGAAGGATTAGCCTCGCTGTATCGTCTTCAATATCAAGGTAGGATGTCAAAAGCACGAGAGGAAATTTTAACGGTTTCATTACCTCCGAATCTACGACGGACTTCCGTACAGAGAGTTCGACACGTGATTTTGCTCGAGTTGCACGACTTGAGACGATCGCATCTTCGGACGAATATCAAATACTCCTGGCGAGATGGTGACGTAGCACTGTAGCATTGTTACCCCCGTCGCAATGCCAGAGAATGCCCATGAAGGATTGTTTGCAGGCCTCATCGGCACTACTAACCGATAACAGGTTGCAAACACCGGGTCTAGCACCACCATAGCAATTTGGCGAGGGGACCAGACCTTAATTCGCATCAGCAAGCAGCGGTCTAGAGTGAAGTTTGCCAGCTATCGTTGGGTGTTTTCGTGGGGCCGGAGGGATCCTCATGCTTGCTGTTGATCAGCTGTCGTGGCCCTGCGCCGGTGCTGACGATGAACAAACACATGGACTTAAATACTAAGAAATAAATGTATTATATGGAGTTGTGTTTCTGCCGAGCTATAGTGTACAGATTTTAAAGGTGCAAAGTGTGGTGTAAATTACAAATAGGTTTGCCCGTAGACGCTTGTCGTGTTCTCATCCTCGCCGGAGTCCTCACCTACCCACTCCAACTCACCGGTTTCGACGAGCGAATAAAAATGTGACGGCTAGGTACTCATCGAAGAGCGGTAGTGTGGCGACATCCCTCTGGTAACTTCTGAAATCTTCGACAGGGGACTCTTCCCAGGTGCGCAGAATCTCCTTCAACTTGTTGATATCATTTCTGACCTTGGGGTTTTCAGCCTGCTTTATGAGGTCCCTGGCCGTTTCGACTCGCAAGTAATCTGCCAGCGTGGGATTTTCGACGTTGACGTTTGAGAGATCGCCCAGAATGATGGCGACGTGAACAAGGCGTGGCGCCCAAACGGAATAGTTACGTGCCAGCTGGTGCTTCAGATGTATCCAATGGCTGTGGTACATGGCATGTCCGTTGGCCAACTCGTCAATCAATGCCGAAATCTCTTTGGCGAACAAAGCATCCATGTCAGCACCTCCAGGAGGGACAGCCAGCATGGCCACTCTTAGGCGGAATGGGTCTGGTAGAACCTTGGGCTCTCGCTTCGGGTCGTACTGCCATGAAGGAGTGCGTAACTCCTCGACTCTCGCGATGACCGATCGTAGCACCGGCTGCGTTGTCATTTGCCAGCTTTTCAGCGTCTCTGGACTTTTCTCCCTCATCATCGCCTCAGACTTGTGCCTGAGCAGCGCCTCAACGTAAGAAGGGTCTCCATGACTGATAAGCCCATCTGCAAAGTCTTTTGCAAAACGTTGGAGCATGTCAACGGTAATACGGTCGTTCGGGTTGGCAACGTCTTTGCTCATATGAGGCAAATGCATCTGCTCCAAGCAGTAGGTCCAATCGCCAAAAACCATCGTTCTCTCATTTCCGCTAAATAGCTGCAACCAGTGCCTTCCTGCATTCGAGCTGGCTAGCGTAGCGTTGCTTTCGATCTTCTTCGTGATGGCTACCATGCCGGGAGAGGGTCGAACGTTGGCAAGAGCGTACCGGCTTAGCATCTCAAGCATGGGTCGCGAGAAATACTCCCGGGTTCTCTGAAAGATCTTGAGCATGGCGGGGTCGACTGGCGAGAGTGGGAAGCTCTCTCCAGGAGGCAACGAGAAGCCATTCTTCTTGAGAAACAACTCTAACCACCGTCTGTTGTTCTCTGCGGACTGCAATATCAATCGATCCGTGATACCGACCAGCTTTGCTTTGGATACAGGGTCGTTGCAGAGCTTTATCTCCAAATTGTAGAACAGAGACCGGATAGGAGCTGCAGATCGATCATTCGCATTGGCCACTTCGGGTAGAGCACCATCAGCTTCTGCTTGCGTCCAATCATCCTCTGTCATTGGATGAAGCTCATCAAGAGATGCTGCGAGTGGCACAGCGAGGTCTTCAATGACCCCCAGAATCCGGTTCTTCACATCGGGCGAAGCTGTCTCAGCTTCTAGGGTGTCGAACATGGTCTGAATGATCGCCACCCGGATATCGATGTGCTGGGCTTTGGTCAAAAGACCAGAAAGGATATCAACAGTTGATTTGACGTCCAAGAACGGCGCATTGCTCAGAAGCGTTGCCAGCATCTTGACCGTCGTAACTTTGACCGCTGGTGGGGACCGCGCAGCTAACTCACCGCCCTCCTCTTTGGCCTTCTTGTATCTGGCCTGCTGCTCCTCAAGCTTCTCCTGTATGCCAATCGATATCATACCGAGAAGTTTTTTCGCTTCCTGAGGAGGGATGGCGTTGAAGAATGCTTTGGTGAGAAGTTCTCTGTGCCAGGCGCTATCGCCTGGTCTGTTGAGAACAACATCTCTGATGAAGGGGAAAGCAAGAGATGGGTGGTCGCTGTCTGCCAACACTTTGATAAGCTTCATAGCCAGTTGGATGCGTGCATGCGTTGGAGACTCCGAATTCTCGCTGACAGCTACGTTCTGAAGGATTGATTGCACGACCGGTACAAGCAGTGCTGGTGGACCAGACTTGATCATGTGCTCTACCTGGGCCTCGTTGCCGTAGAAAAAGGCTTCTTCAATAGTCTCGAGGAAGTCCTGATCCAAGTAAAGTGCCGGATATCGAACATCGGCCTGTGATGGAAATGGGTGCTTCAAGACCGAGCTGTCGGAGCCATGGATGGTGTTGAGAGCGAGGAGAAGGGACGCGAAGTATGCATCCACATTTTTCCTTGGCAGAGGTAGTGAGAATTGACTAGCATCCCAGAAGTCGGGACTGTGTCTGGGCGGAACTTCCTCTGCATCTGACCAAGTAGGCGTCATCCAAGTCGAATCCCCTCCCAAACAAGGTTGTCCCCGTTCTATCACGTTGTCTATGATCGCCCCAGGAATCTTCTTGCCACCGATCTCTCCAAACTCGGTGTAACCGGGATCCGGGTTCCATTCTGTTGGCGTTTCTGGATCCTCGACGTCGGGAATCGAAGGCGGGATTCTTCGCGGGAACTCTGCCTTGATATCTTTCGGCAATGGAAAATACATGCGTTCGAAACGTTTTTTCCAGAGACGTAGGGCTTCGTCTTTCGTCATTCTCGCTCCGCTGAGGCTGTCAACTGCATGACGCCAGGCTTTGCGGGTGCGCTCTTCTTGCTGAGAGCTTCCTTCCCCTGTTCTGATGTATGCTTTCAATGCAAAGCTGTATTCATCCACAAACTGACCTATAGCCTGCTGAGATTCTACATCATTCGGGGGCTCTTTGAGCAAGACCTCGGGAGCTCCGAAGACAACCTTCTCGATCCGCTCTCGAACGTAAGGCATGGCATCGATATCCTCCAGGCCGAAGAAGCTGCGTGGCAACATTGACTGTACTGGCAATCCTTTTGGCCAAGGTTCACCTAGAGTGAGGACGGAGGGGAAACGCTGAGGACGATGCTTTTGCCACAACTCGTCGCGTGCCTTGGCGAGCCCGTCCACGAACTTGAAGACATGGGGCCGCTTCTCACGGCTCCCGAAACAATCCCCTACCATGTACAGCCCATCTGATCCGAGGGGGTAGAGCTTGTTATGGCTAGGATGAAGCATGAAAGTCTCTACCTCAATCAGAAAGTCCAAGGTTGGCTGCCAAAGGACCTTGTAGATCTCGGCATCGGTCAGCTTTCGAGCATCTTGAAACTCATTGACCAGTTGAAATCGTCTTTTGATTACTGCCGTAGGCAATTCAATGACATCGCGCCAATCATAAATCTGGAAGCTGGGTTCTCTGAGGGCCATTGCTGCGGTTTCTAGCAGCTGCATCATGATCTTATTCGCAGATCGGATAGATGTTGCGGGATCAAACTGTGGCTTGCCGGCATGAGAAGTCACGTCAATACCGCTGAGTAAGTCTAAGCCCTCGGCGGTCTGCAGGGATTGTTCGTCGTAAAGTTTCTTCACCGCAAACACGTCTTTGTTGAAGCGTCTCGCCCAAAGCAGGTTCTCTGCATAGAGATCCAAGGAGCCCGCCGCAATAGAGAGGTCGAGTGCTGACTGAGCCCACAAGGCTCGACTTTCCCAATCACGACTTGAAGATGCTTTCCTTCTGCGCCTCTCCAGATCTGTGTCTATCTTGCTATAGTGACTTGGGTCGAGGGGGCTCGAAGTTGGTGAACTTCGCCAAAGAAAGGCTTCGAGTGCTAGCGCGTCACCCTGGACTGAATCAGAGTTTTGCTCATGCTCAAAGATGGAACTTTCTCTGCCATATGAAAACTCCAGAAAACGTCCGTCAGGGAAAGCAATCATCAAGCGCTGGACTAAGCGGAGAGAAGCAAGCCGGTCATCACGCGCAAGCGTTGTGACGAAGAATCTCGCTGGCCACGGTCCCTTGATCTTCTCGAGAGAGATGTCTTTGTTGTCTATAGCGTCGTCGATATCGAGTTTGAAGGCAGGTAGATGCCGGAGCATGAGCCGAAATAATCGGTAGGATACGGCCGGATTGACAGCCTGTAGATGCGGAATGATCTGTTTTGCTGATTGCCACTCTGTCTCAGGCGTGAGTTCCAAAAGCTCGACCAAGTGCTGCTCAACTTGAGGTCGCGTCGAACGGGTATGCTCCCAGAATTTGATGACATAGAACATGACACCGACAAGGCTATCGTCCAGCATCGTCTGGAGGTCGGAATGTCTGCTAATCAGGCGGACGAGCAGCTCAAGAATCTCCAATGGAAGATGCTGCTGAACGCCTGTTCTGCGTCGTCGCAAACGTTTCACAATGGGCAAAGCAATCTGATTAATGAACACGTCTGGCGTAACAGGGAGCTCAGCCCCGACGTCGAGATACTTGAGGAGCATGTCTTTGGCGAAGCCAAAGTTGTTGTTGATAAGCTGCGTGAACGTATCGCCATCGAATTCGGCAGTAGGAGATTCTCCATTCGAAAAGATGGAATCCAGGAACTTGGTCTCGTAGAATGTTGGGTGGGTGCGAAGCAAATTCGAACGCTGCCTCGCTGTCCATTTGGGCGATGTCCCTTCATGCTCGGCTACTCGATCGGTGGTGCACGCCGGCAGGATTCTCCTGTAGTGGGATAACAGCGGCCTCGCATCTGGGTTTTCTTTGGGGACTGGGGTTCCGGCGCCGAGGATGGCGATCAACTCTGTCAATTTGGCTCGTCGCTGCGATCGTCCGTGGGGAAGGGAGGCTGTCCTGGCGAGGCCATTGCATAGCATCTTGACCTCCTTGACGCTGAGGTTACTCATGAGGGTTGCGACACCTTGAGCACCGCCTGCCGCATTCCATACGGGAATCATCGTGTCCTCTGATCGCATGGCCTTGAGAAATGCCCTCATAGCCGCACGTCTTTCGGAGGTGCTCCCGGATTGATTGAGTGCTGCCACGATCGACTTTGCATCGTCAGATATAGGGATCCAGATTGGGAAGATGCTGTGCGGGATGGAACCTCGGACGACCGCTTCATGGAGATTGTACGTGATGGATGTCGGATCGGCAGCGTTGGCTCGAACCTCCTTGAGGTAACTGGCAACCTCCTGCGGCGTGCCATTGCGGAGGATCGTATGTTTGATGGACATTGAGTCTGCCATCACTTTTGGTTTATGAATGAGTCGAGCTGTTGTTGCCGGTGCAGTATTCGAGTGACTAACGGTAGTGGCAATCCTCAAGAGCTGATTAGATGAGCGCTTGGCAGCAAGCCAAGGTGCCATGGCGGCGGGGTTGAGGGGGGGGACAGAGCTTAAATCATCTGTGAATTTCAGTTTTAGAAAGATTTTCTTCGAGTATGGATCTACCTGAACTAAAGTACCGTACTTAAGTAAGTACTCATCTTCGTGTTGGTTAGACTCAAGTGAGATTGAGGCCGAATTTGGCCTCACAGCCGAGGCCGCTTTGCCGCAAACTTGATGAGCCGTATCAATGTGGCAAGGCATCAAGCAGTGGTTGGTCCCCTGAGCTACTCCCAATGCGTGCTGATGGGACGATGGGACATGTTGGTGACCGTGATTCTAGGGACTCTGGCCTTGATTGGGCTGGCCCCGGTTCTTTGCGGAGCGTAACTGTGGCATTGCTTCTGCCTAGAAACTCACTCGCAATTGCAGCAGGAGTCGAGAGGTAGGTATGTATCAAGAGGTTGACGATCGACAATGGATGGATGGTTCAAGAGCACTTGTAGTGTAAGGTAGGTAATAAGAGCCAAGTATGGCCAAGCCAAGCAGCGACAGCTCCTCAAAGAACCCACACAACAGCTGCTACCACTAAACCTTTGACATTATGTAATCTCTCTTAACTTGCCAAGAGAGATGAAGTAATGACTAAGCTCCTTCAAGTCGGTAGACGGGTCCGTAGCTGCGTGCTGATTCGTGCCCTCATTCAACTTTCCCCAATGATTCCGGCTTCACGCGAGTCACAGGACGAGCTTCTCTCCCTCCCTGATGGCTGGTGCTTGGCGGGGGACCTTTCAATTAAGTAGACTTCTCGTCAGTGAGTCGCAAGTCCCAATGTTCTAGCACTTCCATCTTCAGCAGAGCTGTCTGCTCTAGGGGTAGCGTGTTTGTATCGTCAAAAGTCAACAGACCAGGCCGCTTTGATACTGGATCTCATCTCGACCCCAGCCCCAAAAGTCAATACGTCGAGAAATAACGCGTGTTCCTTTGATCCAAATCTTGTCGCTTGCTGTCCGTACAGAGCACTTTAGCTCTTCACCGAGATCGCCAGAGTGCACCCGGGCTCCTCTCACCTTCCCCTCACCTGGATGGAGGATCCTCAATCGCTACGTCCAAAGCAGGCCGCCTGTCTGGTCTGTCGCCGAAGCAAGATCAAGTGCGACTATTCTCCGCATGAGAACAAATGCAAGAGGTGCATTCAGCTCGATTCTGAGTGCATACGGCCTACGTTCCACGCTGGAAGACAGAAGGGAATCAAGAAGTAAGGGCCCCCAAGCTCCCCCCCATCTAATGGTGTTGACACCAGACGGCCCCCCATGACCGAGACAACCCCTTCGAGTCGCACCACAACTCCCCCCACCATTCTCTGATGTAGTATTGATCATTGGCCGGGCGTGTAATAGCAAGCGAAAGGGCCTAGACAAAGCTCTATATCAGATTGAGCAGGCCATCAAAAGAGCCAGAACCGGTGAACACAACTCCGAAGATGACAAGGCCATCGGCAGTCTCCAGGCGCTCCTGGAGGGCTCTCGAAATGCTCGGTCAACTACCGCCTCCTCTCACTTAAGGCGGGGTTCATCGCATTTCAACAGCCCCGACCAACCCGACCTCTCATCTGACGATGATGATGACCTGGACAACACCCCAGACAGCAACACTTATATGAGTTTGCATCATCACAACGAGGAGAGCCTGGCAATCGACGATGCCGAAAACCCGCTCCAACTCCTGGCGCGCGCCTCGAATCTGCAGCTTTCGCCCAAGCCCATCAGTGGCCTCTCGCCAAAGCAGCCAGGTCCCCGCGCCGGGCGCAAGAAGCAGGTCGAACAACCCGATGAGGACTTGGAGATCCAGTCCTTCTTCACCTCTGTTCGCGTCAACTTCGATGTCGGCGATGACATAGATCCCATCACCATGGGTCTTGTAACTGAAGAAGAGGCAGAATCATTATTTGCTTTGTAAGTAACTTACGCCCACTGCCGATGAGGGCTTCGTCAAACTCACCATTCAGCTTCCATGGCAAACTTGCCCACACCCGATGGGGACTTGATCCCAAGATCTACACTCCATCATTCACGCGTTCACGATCTGCCTTCTTGTGCACCTCCATCATGGCCGCATCGGCCCTGTTCCTTCCATCCGCTGGTGCCTTGTCCAAGAGACTGTCAAACCATTGCAAGACCCTCGCACATAGAGTCATCGCGAACCGACACAAGTCCGTCGAGATTGTTCTTGCATTCATGGTCAACGTTCCATGGATGTTTCCTGGCCAGCATAGTACTGATGATGAGACTTGCTGGTATGTCAATATGGCTGCCACTATCGCCATTGATCTGTCCTTGAATAAGCTCCTCATCCCAATGGAAGTTGTTGGTTCCGGTTCGAACATGGCCTTGTCCCGGGGAGACTGCCTTGATCCTCGGACAGCGCTGGCCATGGACGGCTTCAGCCACATTGAACATACCTCTGATCTTGGACAACGCCTTCTTCGTCGCCGTGAGCGCTGCTGGATCGCACTCTTCGTTCTTGAACGAGGCATGTCTCTAGCTCGCGGCCGACCTTATACCGTGCCCATCACGCGGGTCATCAAAGACTGCGACCAATGGCATCGGTCCAGCATTGCTGACCCCATGGATGGTCATTTAGTCTCAATGGCCGTCCTTCGCCGAGATCTCGACGGACTACTCAACACAGTCCGCGCGCTCTGCGATGGGTCGCAGGGAATATCTACGGACGGCGGGCTCATCGCCCAGTCGATCCAGAGTGCTATTGAGAGATTCTTCGATCAATGGCTCACCGAATGGGGCTACGCCATTGGCACAGGCCCCCAGCGCCGACTCCCTCCGTACGTTGAGATTCTCGTCACCCACACCCGGCTCTCGACGTACGGAGGCGTCATCAACCACCCGACCGCCCCAATGGAAGTCCGTCAATTCTTCCGTACGGCCGGGCTATCGTCTGCTGTGACGGTCATGCGAGCAGCGATCCAAGGAGAGTCGCAGCTTCAGTCGATCCCGAACAACACGACAATCATGGTCTCGTTTGCAGCCTGTTTTGCCCTGACTCTGAGCGCCTACGCCACGGGCAGCTCGAACTTGGCACCTAGCATTCGGAACCTCATTGAAGAAACGGCAGATGTCTTGGAACGTATTGGCTCTGCCACAAAGCACAGAAATGGCTTGTCTACACTCTACGGAAAATACCTAAGACGTATCGTCAGGAAGGCGGCCACAGCCATGGATGGGCAGCCTCAGACGAGTATGCAACCTGATCCCACCATCCCTCGTAGTGGTCAACTCGGAACGCCCTCGTCGGCTGTTGCTGCCTCGCCTCCCGTCAATATGGGGCCACCAGTCTCGCAGCCGCCTTACATGGAGTCGCAGCTATGGCCTGGGACTTTGCAGTTCTCTGCCATGTCTGACGACCAGATTGCCGAGGTTCTTAATCAGCCAGGCAACGAGTTCGACCCTTCATTTGCAGGCCTGTCCTGGGACGATATGAATAACTTTGACTGGCTCAGCTGGCCGAATTTGACAGAATTTGGGTTCTAGAGAAACAACCACCTCTCGGTTTGCCATGTGGCGCACATTATGCCTTCATGGTTTCGACCGGGGCGGCGAACTGCCACTGCGTCAGTTTCCGCAGCTGTTCCATGAACACAAAAGTCAGGACAGTATTCGGCCTTCAGTACACAATTCATTAGCAACATTATCGACATTTCTTTTCCTTATGGATGTGACTTACGTCAATCTCAACCACGCCGGAGTCCATCCCTTCATCAAGAAAATTGCTCCTTCTTCCCTCAGACCCGTCTGTACAATACGAAGCAAAGACTAGGTTCGATTAGTCGGTTTCTCTGCAAGGACCGGGACTGGGCCTGTCCACTCACGTTTGCCCCTGGGCCGCTTGCAGCAGCACTTTGAATTCTGCTCTTGAGGACATCAGCTGGCGCGCAAATCGTTGTCGCCGCAGTCCCAGCAAAGAGGGATGCCACGGCATGTGTTTTGATATCATCCTTCATTTCAGTCTTTTGCAGAAGGATGCGTTTTGCTGTTGAATATCTGTTTCGTGCTTTCGTGTCAGTTTTGCTTGTGTTATTTAGTCCCTTCACCCAGGGACGTCCACTCATTTGGCACTCACGTGGCGATTTGTCCCACATCTATCATTCGACATCAGCTTCAATAAAATCCTACAGTCGTTTCCGAGGTTTTGGCTTGACTTACTCATGAGTATACTGCGCACCACATTGGCAGATATGCCTCGTGTGAATGCTCCCCCACCCTCTTCACGACCTATCCTGTATAGCCCTTCGACAGCATTGGAGTAAGCGAACCGTTCGCCGACATTCTTGGCTCCATCGGCGCACATGCGGACGAGGACAACCTAACACCTGTGAGAGTCTGGGCTGAACAGTGGAGCGACGCCGGCCATACCTCAGCAGGATTTCCAACCAGCCCTGCCATGCCTCCAGCCAACCCAGCACAAGATATCGTCATCGCTGTTGTCAACTTCTCTTGACCCGTCCAATGTTTTGCTTGTTGCGCAAAGTAGTTGTACAGTCCGAACCGAGCGGTCGAATAAGTGGTTTGTCGAAAGATGGATGCTGACAGCCCAGACCACAAGGAAAAGAACCCTATACAGTGTAAGTATTGACGATATCACGAGTTTAGCTAGATCCCTCACCATCCCTAGCCGCGAAACGGTACATTGCTCGAAACATCGACTCCCTTGACTTGAGGACCTGCATTCGACTATTGCGATCAGTACCCGTTCTGCGCGCTCCTCGTTGTGGACAACTCTTCACTCACTACTTGGTTTGATCCAAAGGATGTGCTGCGATTGCGTGATCAGTAGTCATTCGAAACACGGCGATGTCGCTCAAGGGCGAACGTACTGAAGCAGACTGCCATCGATGCTGCAGCACCTCTACGATTATCGGTCAGCTCGATTCCAGCTTCCACTTCCAACTTGGACTTGTGTTACTCACCCAAGCCAAAAAGGCTCCTTCTGTTTGTTGCCGCCGGCCATCGTGTGCTGGTGTAAATCTGTGCTGTGGGTATATGCAATGCTACATGCAACCAGAGTGCCAAAGGGACTTCTCAACATCCATTTTCAGAAGCTCGATCCATGGAAATGCTCTTTTGATAAGTAATGGGGCATTGTTACCATCGTCCCCTTGTCTAAGCTTATCCGCCCGCTGTCTGTTGATACGCGTCCGGTCTCGTTCTCATCCCGCAATCCCTCGGCCTCTAAATGTAGAGCCGGCGAGCTCTCGGCCGCTCGGCACAATGTTCAAAGAGTCGAGCTCCAGTTTCCCCACGCTGATGTCACATGGGACTCTTCGCGTCGGCGCTTCTTTTTGATTCCGAGCCGCACGGTCGAGGGACCTTCTTTTGTCTTCCGACTTGCGGAACCCCTCCGGTCTCGATCAATTGGGGAAACAAAACCACTTCTGCATCCCACCACCTTCGCTTGAACGCACGCCTTCTAGTCCGATGGATCATGCGCCCGCAGAGAAACAGTTGAAGCAGACCGGTTCCAGCAGTAATCGAAAACCAGAAGAAACCATGTCGAAGCTCGCACCGTCGCTCAAGGCGCTCATCAATGCACCGTTTGCCCGCCCCGGCCAGACGGCTGCGCCGTCGCAGATTCGCGAGGTGTACCAAGCCATCGCTAAGGATGCGGCATCAAAAAACGTCGGCGCAAAGCCGTGGCTAGCAATTTCGGTGAGATAGACCTATCGCGACTTCCGCAGCTTCTGTTGTGTGGCTCAATTGAGTACAATCGAGCTGGTACAACACTCGTGCGAGCTTAGTTGCTAACCTCGGCATCTCGTAGGCCGCGGCAACCTTCACACTCAACTCTCCCGACTCTCTAGAATCCCTCTACAGTGTCGCGTCTTCCTCAGGCCGCCCCGACAAGCGCGAGACTGCCGAGTTCATTCGCGAAATCGGTCTTAAGTGCATCAGCTTCAACGGCATTCCCCGCACTATCAACTGCCTGAACGCCTTCTACGCGAGCCTCCCCAAGGATGTTACGGCACAACTGGAGACGAAGCCAACGCGAACACCAAACGCGCAAAACATCGACGCCATCACAATTCGCGGTCAGGGCCTGTGGGACTCGATTTACGCCCCTTTCGAGGTCAAGCTCTACGAGAAGCTGGCGCAATCGCACCCGGATCTTCCGGTCCACATTCTCCACAGCCACTACGCGGGCTTGTTGTCGGAACCCAAGGAGCGGGGAGGTCTGGCCAGCGTCGGAAGAGTGCTGACTTCGATGATTGCCATTTCATGCTTGCGAGCACAAACCGGTGTTGGCCCGCAGGTTCTGTCGCACGTTTTCGGCTTGAGGAAGGGACTTGAGGACGGCACATACAAGGCGGACAACCAGGAGGACATTCAAGGTGCGGAGTGGTTGGCTAGCGATGAAGGCAGCGAGTGGATTTTGAAGTCGGTTGATACTATTACGGAGGCCATTGGTGGAGCTGCGAGGTCAAACTTCGCTCCAGGGCGCGAGTCCAAGTTGTAGATCGTCGGCACTTGTGATGCTCGTCGAGGTGCTGTACACTACCGGGCTCCAGAACCGGACCTTTGGCCTTTTATGAATTTGAGCTTTGTCGAACATCAATGCTTCCATCCCGTTCATCGTGTCGCCAGATGCTCGTCATTTCTTTCAAGCGAAGACCGTCATGAAGCCACATACGGATGTTGGATGCCCCTACAGCGACGTAGTACAAAACTCCCAACGCCAAATTTCTCACTCCTCAAGATCAAATTGGCTATTGACATGCGCATGGTTACGTCTGCTCTAATATTGAAAACGGTCTACGGAGCATTTGGAAAAGCTAGGTCTAGAATCTGAACGCAAGAACTCCGTAACTTGAAGACAAAGAATATCATTCTACCAAAAGATCTAAATACGTCCGTCACTTCTCGGCATCCAACCCTTGCTTAGCCATCTCTACAGCACCATCTTGAAGTGAGGTTCCCGATCATCGCCTGTACCAACGAACTGATCATACTTCCCAGCAGCCTTATCGCGGTTGATCTTGGCGCACCAGAGAACATTTATAAAGGTTCTGGACTTTCGATTATCATCTTGATCCACGAAAAGTGTAAGGTTTTACTCACGCCACCCATGCGTAGCACAGCAGTCCCAGAATGACGGTATGGCCCTTATGGTACAATGGGCCATCAGTGCTAGGGTAGATGAAGGCTGCAGATCCAGTCAGTCAGATTCTTATTTGGTGCCTATTGCAAACTTACTCGCTACGAATCCGCCGCAGTTGGCGATGGCAAGCTGAAGCGCGGACGTTGTCGCGCGCTTGTAGTGACCAGCCGAATTGTTGGAGTTCCACACCAAGACGCATGGAACGGCACTGTACATGCCAATGGCCATAAGGCATGTCATGGCGAATCTTGTCTGTGGCGCCGTGACGTTGGCGATGGCTGCGTAGCCCGCGATGGAGATGGGTAGGACGAAGAGCATGAGTGTGCCACGTAGGCGGAGGCGATCGGAAAGAAAAGCAACGAGAACTATGAGGGAAGTCAGCTTTGAGCTTAATCACTATCCTTGAGCTTTTGCCATTGCTCACCTGTAACGGGGGTCGCGACCGCGTACGGGATCACAGACCAAAGCTGAACTTGGTTGGAATTGGAAGCGATATGCATATCGTTGATGATTGTCGGGAGCTTTTTGATCTCAATCAGCTGTGTGAAACTACGAATTAGATCCCAAGAAACTTACGAATAGACCAAAGGAGTAAAGACCAGACAGAATGGCAAAGTAGGCAGTTGCGCTGAGCCAGATCTGAAGGTTGAAAACGCCGCGACCAACTTCGGACCATCGAAATTTCTCCTCTCTTTCGCGTGAAGAGCTTCATAGATGTCAGCTGATGAGCTTCCTTACAACTTGACATTGTGATCTTACTCAAATCTGTCCCCGGCATGACCTTGGAGCCGGAGCAGCGCCCACTCTCGCTCTTCATCCGTTAAGATCTTTGCCGTCGCCAGGTTGTTTGGCAGGCCAATGGCGGCAATGATTCCACACACGACCGTCTAAGGGAGCGTGTTAACACTCACTGGCTTTACGGCCGGGGTTCAAGAACTTACAATGATACCCTCAATGATGAAGATCCATCTCCAACCTTCAAGGCCAGCCGCGGGACCAATCGCGGACAAGCCTCTGGCGAGAAGACCTCCAAATGCACCAGAGAGAGACGCAGCCGTATAGAAGATACCAATGCGCAGTGCAAGTTCGCCGCGGGTGTACAAGCCAGAAAGATACAGCACCATTCCGGGAAGCAGTCCACCCTCAGTCAGACCCAGGATTGCTCGGACTGCGACAAAGCTGCCGTAGCTACGGACGAAGCCGAGACACATGGCTTTGCAAAGTTAGTGATGGATGATAATGAGACCGATTACTGTTGACCCATATACGTACTAACAATACCCCAAGCACAGGTAAGAAAGGGGAGCCATATCCGCGGTGAGACCTTCTTCAGGACGAGGTTGCTTGGCAGTTCGCTGGGCGTGCATTAGCGACCGGACGAGTGTGGGGAACCACATGGGACGAGAGCACGTTGACAGCGCCAAGATCAGCTGAGAACGGACGGAGAGATGTTACCTCGCGATGTATGTCGCATAGAAAACGGCCAAGCCTTGGTTGTATTGGTTGTTACTGATGCCAAGGTCCTCGGCTAGGCCAATAATCTTTGCGTTGCCGACGTTGGTTCGATCAAGAAAGGAACAGAGGAATAGTAGAGCCAAAAGCGGTAGGACCCTGTCAATCTTGCGTGTAAGTTGAACTGAGTCTTCAAAGTGGTTCCTCGTAGTTATGACTTGGGGAAACGCTCACCTAGTGTCAACTTTGAAGAGCAAAGTCTTTGTGAGATGCCGTTGGCGTTCTGCTTCAACCTCCAGGTGGCTCTCGTCATGCTCAACCTTGGGATCCATGTCGAAGTCTTTCGATGTCATGTTGGATTCGAATAAGATTTGGCAGTGTAATCTTGGGAAACTCTATGAAGAAACTGGAAAGACGAGAACAACAGAGAAGACAAGACAACAAGACCCGAGCCCCTATCTGCCAAGCAAGGGCAAAGCTTGGGGGTCCCTCCCCCGTTTTGAAGCCCGTCTTCCCCAGACCCCAAATCTGCGGGGGAGGACGAACCCACGGCGGGTAGCATCTTAGACCGTCCCCGGATCGTCTCTTTGACCTTGCCGTCATCCCGTCCAGACCAATGACAAGCCTTTGTTTACTGTACGCCATAAAGCTGACTCGGAGTCTACTTCTGGTCTCCGAGAGCTACTGCAGAAGAAACTCCGAATTCCCACAACTCCCGGTGCCCCGCCACGAAGACGTCAGAGATTCCCCTGTCTTTACCTGCATCTTCCCCCTCATGCCGAAGCCACTACTGAACCGCGGGAGCGGAGGGACTCCGTCGTGGTCGGCATGCAAAAGAACGGCCGAGGCGTCCCGCGCAGCAACCCGTTCAAAAAGATGAGGTCGCGCCCACCTAACCCGAACCTAGAAATGTCCCCCGACAATCGGCCTTCCCTTTTCTTTTACTTGTGCTTAATCTCTGGTCTCTCGTCACAATTGATTGAAACCTTCCCTTTTGTGTTTTGTGGATAAGCCTGCTTCTTCCTCCAGAAAAGGACCGAACAAATGTCTTCCATTACTCGTCAGTTGCGCCCGCGGGTGCTGGTCCGCGCATCCTTCAGAGCTGTGCCCGCAGTGTGTGCGCAACCTCAGCGTTTCCCCCGCGCAAAGGTCCTTGGTGTTGCGACATGCCGTGGCATAACGACGACACCGATCCGCCGATCACAGAAGGCGCCTGCTACGAAGAGAGGTGGCTCGAAGCTGTATGCGTCCGCTGATGAGGCTGTCGCGGACATCAAGAGCGGATCAACTATTCTGAGTTCGGGTTTCGGGCTCTGTGGTGTTGCAGGTTAGTTCAGTCAGCCGATGCTCTATCTGCACTGCCAGAGGATAGAAGAATGGCTGACACATTCGACGACAGACACAATCATCGCCGCACTAAACCGCAGGGGGGCCGAGAACCTGCACTCGCTGACAGCTGTCTCAAACAATGCCGGTCAAGAAGGCAAGGGTGGTCTGGCTGTCCTCACTAAGGCTGGCCAGGTGAACCGCCTGATCCTATCATTCCTAGGAAACAATAAGGCATTGGAGAAGAAGTATCTCACTGGAGAGATCGGCATCGAGCTGTGCCCTCAGGGAACACTTGCTGAGAGGATCCGTGCCGGTGGTGCTGGAATTCCCGCATTCTTTACGCCTACTGGAGCTCGTGAGTTATACATTGACAGGATCTAGGAGATGTAGCTGACATGAGTAGACTCTTTGGTTCAAAGTGGCGACATCCCTGTCAAGCTTGATGCTTCTGGCGCGGTGAAAGAGCGCGGGCGCACAAGAGAGACGAGAGAATTCAACGGCAAGACGTATCTCATGGAGACTGCACTTACGGGAGATGTGGCCATCTTGAGAGCATGGAAAGTGGACACAGCAGGAAACTGCGTATTCAGGTACGAGAACTACACGCGAATTGACTGAGCGAAGGACCTTGCTAACTGTGTCTCCGTGCAGATACACCACCAAAGCATTCGGACCTATCATGGCCAAGGCCGCAACAGTTACCATTGTGGAAGCGGAGAATATTGTCGAGGCGGGCGCAATCGACCCCAATGACGTCGACTTGCCCGGAATCTTCGTCGACCGAATCGTGCCCTCGACCGCCGAGAAGAACATTGAGATCCTCAAGACAAGAGCGGAGGATGGTGAAGGCGAAGATCTGAATGCACCCAAGAATGATGCGCAGGCAAGGCGCAATCGCATTGCCAGACGTGCTGCGAAGGAGTTGCAGGAGGGTTTCTATGTCAACCTTGGCGTTGGTGAGATGAGATTCATGCCCCCGTGAGGCTTGAAGAGAGGCGCTGACTGTAATAGGCATCCCGACTCTGGCTCCCTCATTCCTCCCGGCTGAACGCAATGTTTGGATTCAATCTGAGAACGGAATCTTGGGCATGGGTCCTTACCCTACCAAGGACCAGGTCGACGCGTAAGTGTACCTTTGAGAGGACTTGAGATGCATGAGCTGACATGTCCAACTCTAGCGACATCGTCAATGCTGGCAAGGAGACTGTGACCCTCGTTCCCGGTGCTTCAACATTCGACAGCGCCGAGTCTTTTGGCATGATCCGTGGCGGCCATGTAGATGTCTCTATCCTTGGTGCGCTGCAGGTTAGCGCCACGGGCGACTTGGCCAACTACATGATTCCCGGCAAGGTGTTTAAAGGCATGGGTGGTGCTATGGACTTGGTGTCCAATCCCGACAACACCAAGATCGTTGTCGCGACCGAGCATGTTGCCAAGGACGGCTCTTCCAAGATCGTGCAGGACTGCAGTCTGCCGTTGACTGGTGCTCGTGTTGTCAGCACAATCATTACTGATCTGGTGAGTTGAGCGTGGTATCAGGTGATTGATTAAGAGACTCGTCGCTAACATGACGATAGTGTGTCTTTGAGGTCGATCGCAAGAATGGCGGTCTGACACTAACTGAGGTCGCGCCCGGTGTCAACGTTGAAGAAGTGAAGTCGAAGACGGATGCAACATTTGAGATCGCAAAGGATCTGAAGACGATGGAGTGAGACGGTGTTGTAATAGTAAAGCCTGTATTCAAGATACCAATAGAGAAATCAATGCACTAAACAATTCATCCCTTGTGTTCATGCAATTCAAGTGTTATTCGTGGCTAATAATACATTATCGTCTATGTGAGTAAGTCATGAAAATCCAAACATTCATCGGCAGTCGTTCTCCCCGTGCGCTTGACAGTGATTGAATTGAGGGGTATCATCCGGATTTAGGCACCAGAAGTATTCACAGAAATGTGGAAGACAGCGTCCTAGTCGCTGCTGGAGCTCGAGCTGCTGCTACCGCTGCGCTTGCGGTGCCCGTCCTTCTTACCATGCTTCTTCTTATGCTTCTTCTTGTCGTTTCGGCTGTAGTTGGTCCATGTTAGTCGTGCGTCTTAGGCATGTCGAGGCGAGCATTGGACACTTACTCTTCCAACGCGTGCTCTATCTTATTGGCACCAATAGCGCCAAGAATCGCACCGCCGACAGTTCCAATGAAACCGCCGCCGGCCTTGTGCGCCGCCCATCCGGCCGCTCCGCCACCGACTAATGTTGCGCCGAGGCCCTTATCCTGATCGGGACCACCAGGTCCAGCGCCATACTGAGGCTGGCCGCCGTGTTGGGACTGTCCTCCATATTGAGGTGCGCCATATTGCAGTTGCTGGTTGTGGGAATAACTGTCTCGGTTGTCGTGGCCGTAACTTTGCTGGTGCTGGTTGCCCTGGGCGTAGGTGGGTTGTTGGGGTCCGCCGTATCCGTGCTGCTCCTGCTGGGGAGGGGCGTTGTAGCCACCGCCCTGTTGGTACGGAGAATGCGACTGCTGGGGGTAGCCGCCGCCGCTGTGGTGTTGCTGGCCCTTCAAGAAGTATTAGTGTTACTGGTCTCGATGTTGCTTCTTGTTAACTTGAGTCCTATCTTGTTGAAGTTCTTACCTGTGCATAGGTGGGCTGTTGAGGTGCGTAACCGCCCTGGTTGTATCCTTGCTGTCCACCATATCCCTGGTTCTGGTTGTGGCCGCCGCCTCCGTAGTAATCGTTTGCAGACATGTTGAGGATTGGGGTTGCTGAGTTGAAAGAGAAATGTGGGTTTCGAGATGTACAATAGTCGAAGTATCGATTGAACTCTGGTATGCTTATTGAACGAGCTGAGAGCAGTAGAGAGAGGGGAGAACTGAAGCTTTATGAAAAGGCGCCAGACTTGCTTACTGCTGAGAGAGAGCCTCGGAGGAACGCTAATCACCATCTAGTCAGACGGAGCTTGCGGAAATTGGCAGGGGCGGGCATAACTAACGTGCCGCAAGCAGCCTAACGCGGGACGGGGATTGGATCTCTCCCGTCTTGTCCCCAGTCAAGCCAAGTTCTTCAGCGTCTTCCCCGCGCCCTCGGCTCAGCTTCTATCCTGTCGTCATGTTTCGTGGCGCAGTCATTGCGCGGGGTGCTGTGTGTGCTTGTCAGCCCTGCTGCAACTTGCAAGCCACAGACGGTGAGCTGATGGACAAGCCACCAATGACGCGACCCTCTTAACCACAGTTGGGCCGTTCGGATTCGGTTCCTCGGTTGCAGGAAGGTTGATGGCGAATCAATGACTAAAAGCTTGACTCCAGTGGGTTGCCAACTTGCCATACGCGGAAGCTGCAAGTTCCTTGTCTAGGTATACACACGAGAGGTCCTCACGATGTCTCCATTTCCTGTCACTATCTATCTTGTCATAGTCGAAATCAGTATTCAACAATGAGTGGCCTAAATTATTGATATGGTAGATCATGTTTGGTGGAGTACCTAGCCTCTGTGATCGGCTGAGTCTGTTTCAAGAATTGGATCGGACGAACTCTCATTCTGGCGCTCTTAGATCACTGCCACCCACCTTCTGTGCTGCTGCACGCCATTAGCTCTTGCATACCACCTGGAAGCACGACCATGGTCCATCATCCAGGTCCTCATGACGACCCCAGAATACAATACAGGGTATTACCATCGAGGGGAGTGGAGTCGGGCCACAGCTGACATCGGCGTCTCCGGTCGCGGCGCGGGTGGGGCCGATTGGCCGAACTTCCCGGGGAAAATGCCCAAATCGCTACGGCGGATTGGCTTCACGGCCCCGAGTGTAGGATGTCTCCGAGTCCGGCGCAATCGTTGCTTAATACATGTAACTACTAGTACCCATCCTTCGTTCAGCTGTCGACGGGTAGTCGGTACGCCAGCACTGAGTTCATTGGGCTAAATCAGCCTAGAAACCCCTATATTCGACTGAATCCCGACCATAGCCGCTCACGCCCATTGCTTCTTGCGAAGTGCACGAAAACCAGGTGAATCCAGTCAACTAGCTTCACGGTGATAACTCGTTGGTAAGATGGCCAGGCTCATCCATAGGCCTTCAACCGTTGATTCGGGTGAAAGGATTACAACAGGCACTCCCTGATTGGCGTCCAGAATTTGGAAGAGTGTCTCACAAGCTTCACTACCCCAGAGCTGTTGTTGCGGGGTATTCGACGCCGTCGCAGTGTAGCGCGATCGGATGATATGTAGCGCCTGGGTTAGCATGAGCCAACACACTCTACTCAAATATCACAGGGGCGATCTTGTCACACTGATCGCGTGGAGGAACGGCAATGTTACTGTGTATGAATGAGCAGAAAGCATTAATACCTGGAATAATCCCACAATCTGGATGATGCGTGTCTACTTCACAGATTTCTCCATCTTGAAGAGACATTAAGTCCTCAAATAGCAAACAACATCAGATCGGGACGCCATGACTGACATCATCAGCAACGTCCTTCCATCCGAAGACCTCTCTACACGTGCCTATTTGCGGTGGGACGCGAAAGGAGTTGAAGTCGTGCCCCCAAATGAAGCAGAAGACATTCAAGCCGTTGCCGATATGATCAATGAGGGGCAGCGCAGAACTTGGAACTCGACACGTCATGGCTATAGTGGTACCCATGCCAGAACACAGGGCATCGTCAAAGGCACATTTATAGTCCCTGATGACTTGCCTCCCCACTTGAAACAGACGGAACTGTTCCAACACGGCGGCGAGTACCCTGTAGCCTGTCGGTACAGTTCGGAGCCCGGCGACCCGGGTCTTGATGTGGGTGTTCTTTTTTCTTACCATCGTCTCTTGTGCTGTGCTTACGCGTTACAGGACCGCATCCCCCAACCCCGGGGCTTTGCCATGAAGCTGTTCAACGTCAAAGGAGAAATGTTCGAGGCCGGCAAGGATACTCCAACTCAGGACATTGAATTCAACAGCACCCCGGCCATTGACCTCGCCGACGCAAAGACGACAAAGGAAATTATCAGCCTTCGGCTTAAGCATGCTGGCAACAAAGAAGAATTGAATAAAGAGCTCAACGCTCGCCAAGATGCGCAACTCCAACTCGCTCGCGACCAAGTTCGCAACACTCACCTCGAGTCCACGCGACAGTATTCACAGACGGCGTATCGGTTTGGAGATTACGTCATCAAGTACTCCCTTGTGCCATCTACCGAGACGCAGAGGAAGCTCTACGATGAGACTGTGAAGCCAGAGCATGACGAGTCTATCCTGCAAAAGTGGCTACAGAATTTTCACGCGCACCATGATGCGGAATACCTCTTCCAAGTGCAACTACTAGAGAATCTCGGTGATCAGCCTGTTGAATATTCAGGCGCCGTATGGGATGAATCAAAATACCCCTGGCAGACTGTTGGCAAGCTTCTGATCCCACGACAGGACAGTTTCGACTACGAGAGGAAGAGATTTTGGGAAGACTATGCACGTGTTGATCCATGGCATGGGTTGAAGAGCCTCCAACCATTGGGTAGCTCGAACAGGCTTCGGCGGGCAGGTAAGTTCTCCATCTTGTCCTGGCGATGGAAATGCCTCGATACTTCGGGTTCTAACATTCTCAGTTTACGCTGCGAGCAGCAGTATGCGACGCAAGTTGAACGGGGTAAAAGAGATTCAAGTTCAAAGTATCGACGAGATACCTAATTGAGTATCTTTCTAGGGACTAATCTTAGGAGGTTCTAGATCAACGGAGGGTCAGAAAATTGACGCCATCGGTGGTCGGTGTATGCCTGTGATGCCTCAAATTTTGCATAGAAGACCACCTAGTATTTATCTGCTGTTACTCGAGATGACACTTGTGATTTTCATTCAAACGAGTGTATTATACTAAGACTTGATGAGTACTTGGACGTCTTCAAGTCGGCCGACACATTGAGGTGACAACTTGACCCCCAAATTGAAAGCCCCGCGATCTCTCAGGAACCGAAATGCCGACAACAGAGTCTCCAGTTTGCCTCTCCAGAACAAAAAAAGAAATCAAAAAGATATATCCGAAAATTCCTTTTCCAACTTCCCGAGCGAGTGTCCAAACGTTTGTTTCGCGAAACACCGAGATCCACCTAACACGCATGCCAAGCCCCTGCCCTCAATCGTCGAAGTTCTGCACATTCAAGTGCCTTTCAGGGACACATTTCTCTCGAGATATTGTCTGTATCACAGTTGCTTCCACTATAACCAGCAAGAGTGTTCAGAGATCTTGCTCGGCGTGATATTCGTCCTGCTGTGTCTAGCTCTCTACATCACTCCAGTGAAGAAGATCATTGACAACTGCATGCTCTTGGAGCATTTTCTTCATCTGATCAACGTCGCCAGGTGAGACTTCTCCCAGACAGCCGTGTCGGATCAGGAAATCGATCATAACGAGTGCGGAGTTTGGCTTGAATTCTCCATTGAGAAGATCTTTGACAATCTCGCCGACTGACTTCTTCTCGACTGACTCGACTTCGTCCGGGTTGGGCTTGAAAACCGGGTCTTCTTTCACTTCCAGATCGAATGGGATTTTGACGCCGAGTTCAGGGGCGCCAAGAAAGTCTTTACCCCATTTCTTATCCCGCAGGACAGCAAACTGAATCGGAGGGGCTTTCTTGACATCCTTGAGCCAGTCAGATCCTAGACTACCATTTATTTCCTCTTTCACTTCCCGCTTAAGACATTCCTTCGCAGACTTGTCGTTAGCTTCGCCGAAACCCCCACCTGCGTACTGATAGCCTCCAGCAGCGCACTGATCGTACATGCCACGAAATGTTGACTTCTTGTCGGAACGTTTTGCAACGAATATTGAATAGGCTTTCGGATCTTCCTTTTTACCTTTGTAGACATTTAGATGAACGCCGGTAGTAACAATACCGAAGACGGGGCTCAAGCCGCAGACGAAACCAGTTGACAGCCAGGTAGTACCGTCCAGGTGTAGCCTCAGCGGCCACATCTCCTTTTCGTCCCCCCAGACGGCTCCGAAATTTTTGTTCGTATGTCGACTCTCTTTTGGGCAAATGATTTTTCGTATGTCTCTGATTCCCTTAACAAAAGCGTCCGAATCCTTCAAATGGTCCGCGTGCAGCCGAAACGACGACATGGTTTCTTTTCAGCGTCCACCGTGTCGAACAAAAGGTGCTTGGCCAACTTCGCTTTCAAGCCTTGTAGAAGTTCGGCGTGGCGAGCGGTGACAACGCCCAGTTTCTTCCAGGCCGTTCCAACAACGTAACCAAATTCCCAGTAATCTGATGTCTTTTCGAAGTTGTTGTAGGTTTCGACGAGTTTGAGTAGACTGCTGTGAACGGGAGTCTTCGGATCTGGCATGTTAAATGCTGTAAATTTTGCGGATGGATTGAAACTATTCTTTTCCTAATCTTCTTTCCTAGATAACTCTGGAAGAAAAAGGCTATAGTTGCGTGTAAAACCTGATGTTTTGGTTTGCTCAGTGAACGTATCGACGATTTGCTACAGTATTTTCCAAACTCCTCTACAGCATATGATCGTCACCATGGCCGATTTAAACGTTTTCGTCCCATGGGAGAGATGAAAGACCTTGAGTAGTTTATTCAATACCGATTTCGTCGACAAAGCCGCAACCCAATTCGCTTACCGGTGTGCATATTGGGGGCAAAGCCGACGCCTAGCAGCTCACTAGGTTGCATTGAAATGTCTTCCAACAAACACCTTGTTTCTCATAGTGAAGCGTGAACAAGGTTACTTTTCTTAGAGGAATATTGTATGTGGAGGCTTAACATAGTCACGAAACTACATGAGGGAGCTAGTCTACCTTTGAGGACAGGCAATTTGCTTTCTCTGCATGAAATGAGGAGTACATAATCCATTCGGTACCCTCGATACATCAATGCATTCGAGTGTTGAAAGACACATGTACAGCTGTTATTGTTTCCAGGTGGAGATTAATTGACTATTTCTAAGCTTGAAGTCCTGATATGGACCTTCACCTGCTCCGGCGCTAATGCATCTGGGTAAATTTCTTTCCAGACTCTGCTTCGGCGCCGATGACCACTTCACCATTCAATGCTTTGACGGAGTCCTTTTCAGGCTAGGGTGAGTATTGAGAGCTCACCATATCATAGTATACATGCAGACATACATCAGAGTGTCTCCTTGGCTGCATTTACCAAAGACCTTGGTAAGCAACACAGTGGAGGTTGACGCTGATTTTGAATTGTCAAAATACCTTGTAAACATGAGCGCGCGTAATGTGAGCTTAGAGTGTGTTCAATATGAAAGAAGCTCATTGTTCAAATTCTTTCAAAGTCGGCATTTGGTGTGACACCAAGTTGAGTGTAGATGATGATTTAGTACTGTGTAACACGGCAGTTTTGGCTGATGATGGCCTCATACCCAAATGGGATAGCCGGGGGGTGTTCTCGGTATACATGCCAGGTTTCGGTGACCGTCGGTATATCTCGGTGTGAGTGCCGACCTAACTGCCGGTTGAACGTTTAGCCCCGGGACCGAGCTTAGAGCTCTGCGTATGGTTGCCGAACCCAATTGCCATGCCATGCGGGTCCCCCCACCTCGGCTTTGGGGATCAAGCTGGGGAAGTTGAGCGGAAGAAGGGGAAGAGCTATTCTCCCTGACTAGCAGTACATCGCTCAAGCTCCCCCGGTTACCAAGCGACATCGCTCACATTTACCCGACTCTTTTTCGAGACAGCCTTGGCCGAGGGCTACTTTCTAAACTTCGTTTCCTCTTTTCTGTACGACAAGTCTGGCTTCCTGTCAACATTCACACTCAATTGACGGCCGTAGCTCCGAGAAACACCACAAACATGTCTATCCCCAAAGGAATCTCGTCCGTCCTGAAGAAGGCGCCTTCCGACGTCGTCATTCTGTCGTCGCTGCGTACACCCGTGTGCCGGTCGAACCGCGGACAGCTCAAGGACGCATACCCCGAAGAACTGCTCTCGACCGTCCTCAAGGCCACCCTCGAAGCCAACCCGAACCTCGACCCTAAGAAGATTGAAGATGTCGCCGTCGGCGTCGTCCTCTCGGAGCTTGGCGGCTCCAAGGCTGCCCGCATGGCCATGAACCACGTCGGCTACCCCAACGACACCTCCTTGTACACCGTCAACCGCGCCTGCTCGTCATCGCTGCAATCAATTGCCCTCATCGCATCGCAAATCAGGACCGAGACGATATCGGTGGGAATTGGTGCCGGAATGGAGAGCATGACCCGCAACTACGGTAGCCGTGCGATTCCGGTAGACGTGTGGCCCGCCCTCAAGGAGTCACCGGTCAAGGATGCGAGAGACTGCATCATGGCCATGGGCATCACATCTGAGAACGTCGCTGAGCGCTATGGTGTCTCCCGGGCAGACCAAGATGCGTTCGCGCTGCGCAGTCACCACAACGCCTCAAGAGCGAGAGAAGATGGCTCCTTCGCCAAGGAGATTGTTCCCGTCACAACAAGATTCCAGGAGACGGACAAGCAGGGCAACAAGGTCGGAGAGGAGCAGACAATCACAGTCACCAAGGACGACGGCATTCGCGCCAACATGGCGATTGAGGCCTTGCAGAAGCTGAAGCCGGCATTTAAGGCCGACGGCGCCAGCACGGCAGGCAATTCGTCGCAAGTGTCCGATGGCGCGGCCGCGACGCTGTTGATGCGCCGAAGCACCGCCACAGAGCTGGGCCTCACCGACAGCATCATCGGCAAGTTCGTCGGAGCAACCACCGTCGGATGCGCTCCCGATGAGATGGGTATCGGACCCGCCCTGGCGATCCCCAAGCTTCTGGGCCAATTCGGCCTGGAGAACAAGGACGTGAACCGTTGGGAAATCAACGAGGCCTTCGCCAGTCAAGCGATTTACTGCCTGAGAGCGCTTGAATTGGAGCAGGCTTACGAGGATGGCAAGGTCAACCCCGACGGTGGTGCTATTGCACTGGGCCACCCTCTGGGTGCCACCGGTGCCCGCATGACGAGCACCTTGCTCCACGGTCTCGGAAGATCTGGAGGCGAGGTCGGTGTTGTGAGCATGTGCGTCGGCACCGGAATGGGTATGGCTGGTCTGTTTGTAAGAGAGTAGAGTGTTAGTATAGAATCGAAGCTACCACAGTATACTGTGCCGCACTTCAATCGTTCGGAAATTCCGAACCCATAGCTTCCGACTGCTTGCTCCGGTATTCGCAGTGCGAAGTCCTAACGGTCGTTCCATGTGAGTTTCTATCACCAGTACCAATTGCAACCACCCTTGCTCTGATCTGCTCCATTCGTCTCATCTTCCATTAAGCACAGTCACTTTTCGTTAATTGGAGCGGGACTATCAATAAAGGCCCCAAGTCTTCAGTATCATTTCTTACCAGGTGAGCATTGACAAATACTAGGTAAGTAGATGGGTCTTTTAGATGTGAAAGTCTGGACAGTCTTGTTGCCGCCCACCTTGCAACAATTGCCCACGAAATTTTGAAAGTCGCTCAATGGACAGAACTCCATTGAATGGGCAGACGTAATGATTTAGCGCAGAGAACGTGCACTACATACTACGGTATCAGGCCAAAGTTTAACCCCCTTGTCAGGTATCTTCGCCTGTGCTTTTCATGATTACATCAGCAGCATTACTTTCGAGATTCTTGTGCACGTCGAACACAAATTTGGCCATTGAGAGTCACTGCTCTACCCTGGCCGGACCCACGCTACCTGGTAGGGAGTTTAAACTTACCCCTATAGACCAAGTATGTGTTTTGAAAACCAATTGCCCCTCCATCGACGTTGCTCTACCCTCGCCAAGTTGGTGTAGAATAAGCGCCGGTTTCCAACAGAGGCACATGGTAAAGTACAACCATAACCAATCACCGACAGACAAGACATGTAGGCAACCAACTCATCCAGGCCGCATGTCGGGTCACATACGACATTCGAGCAGGACAGTCATTGGCGCATTTCCCATCGTTGGGCATGGGACTGCAGGGGCGCGGATACTCCCATCTTAATAATCAGGCTATGAGTAAGTTTGCGCAAGCGCCGTGATGGATCCTTTGCCTCCCTTTTCTCTACAACCTCACGCATGATCCTCCCAGAGATATCGCACTCTCGCTCTGGATATTCCAACTACAATAAGAAATGGAAGTCGTCGGGGCGGTGGCAAGCTTTATAGCCATAGGCCAGGCTTTGAGCACCGCTCGCCATGTCGCTCACATTGCCCGAGCGATCCCGGGGATAGAGAACGAGCTGAGGTGGCTCCAAAATGAGGTCTGTTGCAACAATATCAGATCAACATAATCACATTCAAGACCTCAAAAGGGAGAAGGTTCATGCGCTGACCTTGAACATGATGCTGTAGGTCGAAGCTTTAGGATTAATCGAAGCAGAACTCGCTAGGGCGGGAGTCATTGCCAGTGATTCAAAATTCGAAACACTGTACCTAGAAAAGGCCATGCTTCAGCTCACAGAATCCACGAGGAGCCTCGAAGAAATCCGAAAACGCTGCACTCGACCACTGAGTGCCGACGGCAAAGACAAGATCAAAAAGAGAGCATGGTTCTGGCTACAAGCTGAGCTCGCTGAATGTCGAAGTAAAGCGCGAGATGCCAGAGAAAACCTCCAACTTGCGCTCCAATCAATCAATGCTCAATCTATCACGTAAGGTTCATATTGTCAGCTGCATAAGATGGCTGTTGAAAAGCTGAAGAGATTACGTTGCGCTCTAGGAAACTCGTTTTGCGAATCGAGAGTCTGAGCATGCAGATAGTGTCGAATGTGCAACAGCTCGAAAGTTCCACAGGCATTGCAGACGCTCCAGAGAGCCCGCCATCAAAGGATGAGAAGCCATCGTGTTGTGATGAAAACTCATCATGCTGTGATGAAGACTTAGAAGCACTCCAAGACGACAAACCTTTACAAGTCGTGGCTGTGAGACAACCTCAACAAGCCTTACCGAATCCTCAAGCCTCAGCACCCACTGACTTGATCACTCCTCAAGCTTCGAGTATTGTCAACCAGGTATCAGGTCTTCTGCAAGACCGATGCCCAGTTCCATGCTGCTGCCGATGCCATGTTTCAAAGCCAGTGTCGTACACTCCCACGAGGTGGGCTCGGAACTTGGTTGGCAACCTTAATGTCAACTTCAACCGCCAATTGAGTTTCCACAACAGCGCGAAATGCACCGAGGCTAGCTGTAAAAACAAATCAGGAGCATCTATGACTGTCGCGTACCAGTTCCCGGTTTGGCTATGTTCCAGAGCAGTCCAATTGCAGACCTTAGTGGGCGCTACGACTGGGCTGCGAGTGTCCCTTAGACCCGCCAGGATTCTCCCCTTTGGATCAAACTTTTGGGCTGCCACTGATTCTGAGTATGCTCTGAGTTCGAGAGAAACAGTGCAAAAGTGGATGCTACACTATGGAAATGTGTTCCCAGGTGACACAAACCCAGACGGGATGACTGTCTTGGAGGTAGGCCTTCCATGAGTCGCTTCTGTTGACACACCCATAATTGGATAAATCAATAGAGTGTCATAGGACAAGGATCAACAGATATACTCCTCTATCTGTTCCAGATCTGGGAAGACCAAATAACAAATGGGAATTATGACGAGCAAGTCCGTCAAAGTTTCGAAATCTCCAGGTTCTGGCGAGTAGCTACATATTGACAAGGTTTTTTTTTTTTTTTAAAGCTCTTGGTTCTACAAGACGCACCATGAAATTGCAAACACTCCCGATCTACCCGAACAGAAGATGCAGATACTCACTCGAATTCTGTCTGCTGGCAAATGGACCGTGAATGCCAGTCAGACCCCGCTGCATGATGCTCTTTGCAGGGGCGATTTTGAAGCTGCTTCTCGAGCTGCCGAAGAATTCAGTTGGGCCATCAATCAGCGGAACTACGAAGGCAACACGCCGTTACACATCGCTGCAACACAAGGTCATCTTGATAGCGTCAAACACCTCGTGCATTTAGGATGTGATATCAACGAGGCTAACTGGAAGGGTCGCACTGCTCTCATGCTTGCTTCCAAGGGCGGCCATATTCTCACGGTGCAATATCTGATTGATGCTGGTAGCTGGGTGAATGCCACTGACAGAGGGGGCGATACTGCAATAATGATTGCTTCCATAGCGGGGCCCAATAATCTGGCCACAATTCTTCAGGCTCTGATTCGAGCGGGAGCATCAGTGACCATTACTGATAAACAAGGTGATAGTGCCATTCATCATCTCACGTCGTCTTGCAACAAAAGCCGCGTTATTCGGGAGAGCTTAAGAGTCCTCCTGGAAGCCGGTTCTGATATCGAATCTCGACAATGTTGCGGGAGAACCCCGCTTCTACTTTCGGTTCAAAGCGGAGATCGCAGAGGCACACAATGCCTGATTGAGGCAGGAGCCAAAATAACATGTGTAACATACGATGGTTGGGGCTTGCTTCACGAAGCAGCTTTGTATGGAACCAATAAGTTACTCCGATACCTTGCAACTCTCGACTCAACGGCCATCAACACGTCTTTGCGTAGCAACGATGGAGAAACGCCTTGGGATCTCTGGATTTTCACGATGCATGTGCAAGGTTGGCAACGCGCAGATGTCTTAAGGCCAACCCCAAAACGACAAGAAGCTTTCGTTTCAATGATCAAATCATTCAGGGATAGAAATTTGACGGTTGATTTACAACGGCTGGATTGGCTACTACAATATTTGAGAGACAGGGATCAACGAGGCGCCATAGCTGCATTGAGTCCTTTGATCAAGCAGAAAGAAGATTGGAAGCGATGGGAAATTCTTGGTACATATAAAGCCATCGGCTTACAGATCAGAGAAGAGATGTGGGAGGCAGCAGTTGAGTCTGTTGAAGAGGTTATCGACTGCTTGCGAGAAAGAATGGCCACATCCCCGTGCGACAGCGAATCGTACTACGACCCGAAGACTCATACCATATACCGAGCCAGAGAACTCGTATGATTTTCAAGCCGTCACGGCTGGATCTCAACATGATGGAAGGGAAGGCAGAGCCACTTATGAACGGATTATGAGTCGGCACATTCGAATGCAAGTCGCAGAAGCGACTTTTGATGTAAACAGGGGACCATACAAGGATGAGTTGAGTTCTTTCAGTAGATAACTCATTCAAGCTGTAAAACTGCAAATAATCCGAAGATCTGCTGAGGAGCACAAATCACAACCACCCCGACCGTAAACGTACCAACATCTTTACTAATTGCAAGTTGCGGTGACTTGCCAAAGCAGTCCTTGTTCTGTTGCTAGAACCTTCTGGGTAGAATAAAAGAAGCATACAGAATACTCTCGACGTAAAGCCCGTCGTAGCCAGACCCATTTGAGCGTGTAGTTTTAATTGCTGATTTAGTTCAGGGTTGCTCCATGCCTACAAGAGCTCGTCAACGGCAATGCCCGAGATAGCAGGTTGTCAACCACTGCCAAACTATATCTCCGCCTGTCATCAAACATCATGACGCTCAGAAACAGAGAGGGTTCAGTAGTCCCCAGCTGCCATGGCATGCATCGTCCTTGACCACCAAGTTCCCACTCAGGTGTCCACCATCCATTGTCCATGCCTCCGGCCACGCACCTCGAGAGCCACTGATCCACCCTACATGTTTCCGAACGAACCATATTTATCCCTTTCACACACCTCTCCATATCCCCGGTCTCAAAGTCCCAACGCAACTGGCCCTAATGCCACTAACCCCAAGCTAACCCCAGCACTTTCCATTCCCTCGGGCCTTGGCACGCGGGGCTCCATTTCCCCATTTCCACAGTTTGGGTGATGTGGGTTGCTGCTCACGCTCCAGTTGCAGTGGCTGACCAACTCCAACCTCTCCAGTGGCGGCGGGTGTTGGTGCTTCGTGGGTTTGACTGACTCTTGTCCTCGCACGCTATCTCCTGCTTATCCTCCAGACGGCTTGTCTCATCGAAACCCCCCCTTGCCCTTATCCATTCCCATCGACCGCCTCTTTCTTTCTTCTCCCTTCGGATCCTAAATCTAACCCCCGAGAACCCCGCGTTTGCTGCCCAGACACGCGGCTCCGACTTGTTGGAATCTGTCGCAATCTGGTCCCTTCCCCATGGGTCGTTTCCCCAGCTATCCTCTAAAACGCACCGGATCTCAAATGTTGCCCCCGCTGATCCAGTTACCCCGGATTCGGGGATCACTCGTAGAAATGACCTTTGCGTGGGGTATCAACGATGCAACAGTCTTGAAAAGTTCATAAATACCACGTTCCTGCTGATTGTCCAGCACTTTGGGTTGGTTGACAGAACGAAGTAAGAAGCAGTGACTCCATCTTCATTTATGCTTATTTCTTAGACCGCAACTCTCTTCACCGCAGAGTTTAGCCCCGCCGATCCCTCTTTTTTCTGACAACCCCCCTTCCCCGAAAAAACAGACTCTGCTAGGCGCACAAACCGGCCCGGGCACGATATCAATATCAGCGAAATCTACAATGGGTGCGAGCGAGAAGCGTTCACCTTCGGTGGAGCGCGAAGAGCATGCTATCCATACCGTCGATAGTGTGATTATGGACGAGAAGCCTATCCCTCAGGATGAGGAGAATCGCGACTGGACCGGGTCTGCGAAAAAGACCGACCCGGAAGAGATCAAGCTGGTGCGGAAACTAGATTGGCGGATCATGGTAAGTCTCTAGTACCTCTTGATATCGCAGATGCTTGTTCATGATCTAATGACACCTTCAAACAGCCGACACTCTGTATCATGTACTTCTTGAGTACGATTCCCCGCTCGAAACCCCATCATCAGATTACCTGACTGACCAATCAGACTACGTCGATCGTAATGCCATTGCTCAGGCACGACTGAACAACTTGGAGAAGGATTTGGGCATGTCAGGAACAGAGTTCAACACAACGGTTTCGATGTAAGACGCGAATTTGCGGCAATGGACTAGATAGAAGGAGCGCGACTAACAGCTTCACAGTCTCTTTGTGGGCTACGTTCTCATGCAGATTCCGTCCAACATGTTGATCACCAGGATCCAACCCGGCATGTATATGAGCGCATGGATGTTGATCTGGGCTGTCGTCTCAGGTACGAAATCTGTCGGATCACATTGTGGTCCTCAAGTCTAACAGACATCTAGGTTGCACGGCACTTGTTCAGAATTACGGAGGTCTTGTTGCTTGCAGATTCTTCCTCGGTATCACCGAAGCTCCCGTAAGTAGCAACATCTATCGTCGAGTCATGAGGCCTCTCACTTACACGGAATAATAGTTCTACCCAGGCGCAACCTACATGCTATCAATCTTCTACACCCGCAAAGGTCAGGCCCCTCCTCCCTCTCCATCCAACTCCAAACCTGACCCGTCAACTAACACCCCCAACAGAGGTCGCCTCCCGCATTGCCCTCCTATACTGCGCCCAAATCCTCGCAACAGGCCTCTCCTCCCTCATCGCAGCCGGCATCTTCGCCGGCATGGACGGCCTCAACGGCATCGCAGGCTGGCGCTGGCTCTTCATCGTCGAGGGCGCCGCCACCGGCCTCGTGGCCCTCTTCGGGTTCTGGCTCCTCCCCAACACGCCCCTGACGACGCGCTGGCTCAACGACCGCGAGCGCGAGCTTGCTCACTCCCGCATGGAGAAGGATAAGCTTTCCGATTCAGATGATAAGCAGGCTTCAGCTATGGATGGGTTGAAGCAGGCTGTGAAGGATAAGAGGACGTGGTTGTTCTGCTTGATGCAGAATTTCCATTTGAGTGCTTGCAGTTTCAACTCCTTCTTCCCCGTACGTATCTCTTCTCCCATTGTGGGTGGTTGAAGGTACATCGCTAACGGGAACCAGACTGTCGTTAAGACTCTCGGCTTCAACACGACCATCACTCTCGTCATGACCTGCCCGCCGTTCATCTTTGCCGGTGCCGCGGGTATCTTGTTCGGCTGGAGCTCCGGCAGACTTCACGAGAGAACATGGCACATCACAGTCGGCCTCGGCGTCGCGATTCTCGGTTTCGTAGTGGCGGCCTCGACACTCAACACGGCAGCTCGCTACGTCGCCTGCTTCATTTTCCCCATGGGAGCCTATGCCGGTTAGTACTCATACTCGGTTTCAATACTCAGACATTATACTGATTCTTCACGTAGTGAACTCCGTCATCATCGGCTGGGCTTCTTCAACGCTGTCACAGACCAAGGAAAAGAAGGCAGTCGTCCTCGCCATGACCAACGTCGGCGGCCAGATTGGCTACATCTACGGTGCCTACCTCTGGCCCAAGAGCGACGAACCCCGCTACGCAATTGGCTTCGGTGCCTCTGCCGGCTTCGCTTTGCTCTCGATCCTCTGCGCTTGGTGGATTCGTGTCTTGCTTGTCAGGGAGAACCGGAGAATTCGGGCTTCCACCACGGAGAATGTGAACTTGTACGGATACTAGGTGGCCCAAGGAGGGTCTACTGTTGCGGAGATTGGAACTTGGCTGTGTCGTTATAGTCTTGTCGTATGGATGCACCGGTTCATGTTGCTGCTAGGCCTGCAGAGAACCATACTATCATCTTTAATGAGACAAGTAAGCTTGAGATAATATACCATACAGGAAAGACAACATAGGATTCTTGACTGCAACATTCATTCAAGGCAAGACCGCATAATATACCCTAGTGAAATCAGCTGCTTGTTGGCGAAACATTGCGGTTCTACAAGCCTTCTGCTTCCAGGCATAGTCTCTTTACTTCGCAATGGCCTTATATAGATACACATCACGTTCATTGTGCATAGCATGATTGGAATCTTAGGTGAGTTCATATCATTTGCACAATACCGTTCAAGGTGATCATGGATGAATTGATGTATATCTGGAACAACCTGGAATGCCTTAATTAATATCACACGAAATTGGTATGGGCGTTGAAACATGTAACCAACAATGATGACTATAGAATACCTCGTTTGACGAAAGTTGCCACATAGTTTGGTGGCATTATCATGTAGCCATACATGCCTCGTTAGGACCACCATGACTTTGTTAGGCGCGTAGAGAGAACGAATTCGTACAGCTGGGATGGGAAACTAATACTTTGGATGAATGTGCTGGTGCGATGAGGTTGTTCACGACACCCTTCAGACACTCAAAACGGAGCATTCACCTCGCCCAAGAAGCGATGCAAACAGCGACTCTCAAGTTTGATTATTGAAGCTTGATGATTCTATCGACTTGACTAACTTTAGAGGCCCGAACTGATGGCTTCTCAACATCAGGCACCCGCTTCGTGTAACAGCATCGGGCACTGAGACTCTCTGAGAGCGGCCTTGGATATCACAAATCATCAGTCTTTGAATAGCAGTGTAGTTAATGGACACAGTCCATGCCAATCCCAGACTAACGCCACGAAACGATGATAGGGATGGTTTGGCTGGAAGTCGCACCAAATATGGGGAAGTCAGCAGTATCCTGTATCTCATTTATTCTAGAGGTCTCGCCTTCGATGCTACAAGTCTGCCCCATCTAAGCTTCATGGAATCGGACAGCGTAGCGTCTCCCTTGAAGCCGGACAATGTTTTAGTGGGAGGAATTCAAATATGTGATTTATTTCAGCAACGTTTCAGTGGTACGTCGCCGGCATATATTCCAATGTGAGCCCCCGACTTACGTATTTGTCCGTGTCGAACAAGCTACTCAGGCTCAACGAATCGATAGCCATTTCAGAGAAACAGAAGGCTTCTCGATTCATATCATCTTCTACACTATCCAGTTCCGAGATTCTAGAAATGTCCTGCGATACATACGCTTCGCATAGAGGACCATCATAAAACCTACCTCATCGTCCGCTCACTTTCATGACATTAATATCCGTAAGCGTTAAAACATAAGTCGCCATTACGTATACAAGAGTGCAGTCACATTGAAAGGGAACGACTTTCGACCAAATAAGATGACACACAAAGGCCGTTCTGCTAATCAGGCGAAATTTCGAGAGTCTGAACTTGGGTTTTGCATGGCATCATCTGTCACAACTGAATCAGGGGTCCCTCCAGACTAACTGCTGAGTCGGCTTATCGGCTACAATTCACTGCCCGCTGATAAGTGGTATAGCAGTGATGTTGCTTTGTTTCAGGCTGAACTTCGAGGTAGCTGATGGGCGAGTTGTCAAGCATGACGACAAACGCTAATTGGTATGACGTTGAACCTTGCTATCCTCCATTGAGGCTGTCAAGGGCGATACGACTCATGCCATAAGAAGAACGAACCAGCCAAGGGTAACGCGTCTCTGCGTGTAACTGAGTGGATGGCCCATACAGTTTCTTCATACAGACACTATTTACCTTACGGGGCGGGCCGGATGTGATCCGGAGAAACACAGCACCTTATTCCTGTGCCTTGAAACTAGGCTCTCAGCGGCACTTGCTGCGTTTTACTACGAATGATATACAGGCCGAGGTTTCCGAGCACATGCACAATCAGTCATCACACGACTCGGTCGTTCCCCATTGGGACAGCATGAGCCTTGACCCATCTGAACAGCTTGCCGTTACCAAGTTGCGGGGGCGGAGCTCGACGGTTCGGATGGTCCTTGCTTGTCTTTGGTGTAGATGTACACAGTAGACTCGTGGTGAGGCATATGTCCGACCAGGTCCGGACCTGGGGTAAGCACAATCTTAGCTCCGGATGTTTATATGGGGCCGTTGATACGATTTACATCTGCCGCAAGATTGCCAACATCAACATGACTTAGGTAGAGTAGGGCGTGTACATGAAAATGAAGAAGGTTGAGTCTAGGGCAATAGCAAAAAGTCTGCATGTGAATTCCGAGGCTGTCGATGCAGTTGACTGATTGTCAAACACAGCAGAAACTTAATGGTGCTACTATGACCGTGCTGCTGCCGATGCGCAGTGCAGGTTCTTCTCCAGGTTCATCATCCGTTGTCAACAGTAGAGAGAAGCTTCTGCCGAAGGGAAGAAGCCTGGGATGGTTGCGCTAGTCCTAATAGGGAAGTACTGTTGGCTGTGAGAGTCCGGGTAATGGTCGGATCTCATCAAGGGCAGTACTGGAGCGGATGTGACTTTGTCAGACAGATGACTATGAGTGATGCCGGGAAAAGACGGAGGTCGGCAATGTCTTCCTCTCTGAGCGATGTGGAGGGATGGGCGTGAAATCGGGTCGATCCCGGAGTCCGACAGAAAGCTATAAAAATGAATTGGTCCGACTGGATGCTAGATCACCAAGAGCCGGGGTTTTCAGGCTCAGGCTGACGCACAGCTCCGCGAGAGAGAGAGGGAGCGGGTGTGGTGCGGGTTGCAGGGCCGAGCAGAGCTAGATATGATGGACTGGGCTCGGCCGGGTGTGGTTTTTACGGGCGGTGCGTTTCTCGCGTTGCGCAGCGTCTGCTTGGCTGCGCGAAGGGTGAAGGGCGGTAGGTAAGATTTGACTGTGGGGGTTGCCTCTAATGCTGATGAGCGTTGCCTTGTTGGGGTAAAGTGATTTGGCGAGTTTGACGAGTCGCGTTGATTAGTGTTTGCTGTCCCGTTTTCGAATTCGCGTTCGTATTGTGGATACGGCAGGCATACGAACAGAGGAGCCAGCGCAATCTCGACAAGAGGTATTGTACACCGTAAGGTAGTTGGCATGCACGCTCGAGGCAAGACCAGGCGTCCAGAATACCCATGGGTTAACAGCTTTGTTGAAGTGACTGCTGCCGCTGCTAGGTTACTGTTCGAATTGAATTGGAAGCCGAGAGACCCTATTGCATCTTTGCATCGATATTTGGCGACAATTGGGACTGGACGGTGGATGTCTTCATCCCTGTACTTCCCGGAGTTGCTGCCGCCTGCCGCCTCTGAATAGCCGCCACTTGGGGTGGTCGCATCGGTGTGATGATGCGTCAAGTTTGGTACTTGGGGTTGCTAATGGAACACATGGCTGACAGTAGCGACGGATCCGGGGTACCGGTATTGGGTCGTGATCGCGTGTATCCTTGTGTTCAAGCGTCACCACACGCATCGGGGAATCAGAAACCTCGGCCCATCGTGATCCAACACTACCAATGTCGATCTCAGCCGCCGACATCTATCTAAATCGGCCAAAGTCACGACGGGTGGTGGAACCCCGAGACCACGGAGCCGTCATGAGGTTCCTCGGGAAGAGGCGCCCGTGACAATATGGACGATGCAGAGCAAGTGGCGGGGTCGGACTCGGTGTTCGTCCCCGATGGTGGGATGTTGGTGACTGCTGAAGTCTCAAGGTAAGGGCTGTTCCTAGAGAGCTTTCTAGACCACTCCCTGCTTTCCTATCTCGCTCGTCTGGTGTAAGGGCGGGAGGCTCTTGCGAACGAAGGTCCTGGCTTGTGACTACTTTAGCCTTGACGTGGAAGGCCGTCAAACGTCGCTTAGGACGAAAGTTAGATGGTCGCGGTATTGGGAGTAGGGACGAGTCAGCAGACGGACGACAGGCTCTGAGCTCGGAGGGGCAACTCAAAGTCTGAAGGTCTGAAGTCTGTTGTTTACTCCTTCAGTGGTGAGACTTCGCTAAGACGTTGTCTCGCGGCGGCTGCTGTTGATAGTCTGGCGTTGCTGCGCTGCCGTAATGCCATGTGGATTGCGCGATCCGGTGAAGACTACAAAGGGAAGAATGTGCCGTGGATCTCGGAGTACTGGTGCAGCCCGCCCGGTAGACCATGACGGTCGGAGTGGATGACTCCAGTCGGAACCGGGAGACAGATCTCGGACGAAGCTGATTAATCTAATCTGGACGGGTCTACTGTGTGGAGTAGTCTGTGTTGCGCTGAAGGCTAGGAAGTAGGAAATACTGTATTTCTTGTTCAAACTCCGTGATGTTGAAGCGCCAACTGACCCTTGGGCCCTGAGCCGGTGGGCGAGGCATGTGGGAATCTGAGTGACGCAGATCGGGCGGACAGGTTTGCGGTTTGGCGGCGGGCCAGGGCCCAGGGGTGGGTGCGTTTGCCGTAAATCGTCGTATATCGGCTGTGCTGATCGCCCAGTTGGAACGGGCTGCGACGTGGCCAGGATCGGGCCAAGGCGCATCTTTTCCGAAGAGTGCGCAAAGATATTTGCTACCCTGAGTTCGAACTGCTCGTTTGTGTTTCTGCTGTGTCCGTAGGGTTAGACGTGTTCATAGCACTGGTTTCTCGTGCCATCAAGCCGGAACATGGAGATGAATACGTCTGAGGAACAGAAGGCATACTGCGAACTTCGAGCTCCATGATAGTTGGTAGTATAGCATTCGCCTGGTCCGTGTAGGATTGGATTGGCCTTAATGATTAATTGGTGAGACGAATTCCTCTTGTGAAGAGTGTCTGTAGGTGTGGACTTGTGGTGGTGGAGGGTTGTGGTGTCGTGGGCGTCAAGCGTTTTCGATGGCCGGTAACGGATGGCGAGTCCCGGCAGGCGCAGGCGTACCGTGTGGGTCCAGTCGGGAGAAA